AGCATTCCCGCTATGGGAGCGCACTGACCACCAGTGGGCAGTTCCTGCACTGAGCGTCTGCTCCCTGGTGGTCAGTGCGCATCATAGCTACCAGCCGGTCATCAGGTCGTCCAGTTGCTTAGGCTTTTATATATATAGATAGACAGATAAAATTTTTCAAAGCTAGGATGCCAAAGATTTTAAGATACCCATTGTTTTATACAGCATTAAGAACGAAAAAGTATGCCAATTAATTGTAAGACACCATTGATTGTAAGAAGTATTCTAATTTGAGAGGTGTAAAGTGAAAAAAAGTGTGGGTGTATAGGAAAAAAACTGGAGAGATGTACATGAAAGTTTTATAGTGGTGAATTCTGGGAGGTGAGATTACAATTTGTCTTTAATTATTGCTTTTCTGAGAATGCAAATTTCTTAAACTGCTGCTCTCTTCCTATTTCACTCTTTACCCTACTCTCAAGGCTAGTGGTAGGTGACCCTAGGCCCTGGCAGAACCCCTTTTCAAATCTTTCAGTGTGTCATGCACTAGCGTTCAAGCCTTGGCTCGAGGATGTAGGAATGGTAAGCTCCCACTGTATTGTTCTTAGCACTTGAGGCCTTTGCTAAAATGCCAGGGCTACAGACATATTTAATACAAGTTATTGGTAAGTGAATGAAAAGCAGTTCAATAAAGGAGGTCTATAGAAATAATATTTAATTTTTGTGGTAGGCTTAGGAAATGTGTAGAAAGGATTCTAATAGAGAAATTTGTTTTATAACTTTAATTTCCCTCCTCCTAGAATTAGCATGTATAAAATTTTGTGCGCTTTAAGATAATCGTAAATCCAACATTAATGAGATTAGCTCAATAGTTTTTTCCCATGAGGAATAAAAGATATTTTGAAATTTTATATTTGCCTGAAGTTATTTTTACCAAATGTCATGAAGAAAGTATAATTAAGTAATAAATATTACAGTCTTAAATCTATTATTTAAAACATGGTGAATTTTTACTTAAGCTTCTTTATTGCATCCTTTCTTTTATGAAGTCCTGGGATAATTTTGTATTCTTTTTGCAAATATATGCTTTTATTCCTTTGCTTGGTTATAGAGATGGATTTATTTGTTAATTTCTTAATATGGTTCATACACCTACATGCAAGCTTATTTTACTATTTAAAGGAAATTCTGGCCCAGCCGGTATGGCTCAGTGGTTGAGCGTCAACCTATGAACCAGGAGGTCACAGTTCAGTTCCGGTCAGGGCACATGCCCGGCTTGCAGGCTCGATCCCCAGTGTGGGCTGTGCAGGGGGCAGCCCATCAGTGATTCTCTCTCATCACTGATGTTTCTCTCTCTCCCTCTCCCTTCCTCTCTGAAATCAATAAAAATATTTTTTTCAAAAAAGAAATTCTGTGACTTTTATATATTTTTCAACAATGCAAAATATGGTCACTCATCTGCCAAGGTGGCAGGATTCTCCCTAAGTACTGTGGGAAGTTCTGGAGCCCGTGTATGGTTAACTGACTGCAGAAGTGTCAGTTGGGGAAGTAAACACCAAGGACCGATTTTGGCAACCACCCAGCACCTGTCTGGTTTGCAGGCACTGGCTGTGCTCCAGGTTGGTGTGGGCTGGCCTGAACGATATTTTTTTTTAGAGCTCAAAAAGGAAATTGGGGCAGCCTTTCTGTACCAGTCAGGGCCCAGGAGAGAAACAGATGGGTGGCGTTCTCAAAGGGGGTGACTGATTCAAGAGAGCTTAATGAAGGGACTATTAGAAGATGGGAAGAGTTAAGGGAAACCAAGAGGGGATGGTGCAGCTCCTCAGAACCATGGCAGCAGGAAGTCAATACGGTCCTTGGGCTGGAGGAGAGGGCGGGGCTCTTGAACTTGACCAGAGCTAAGCTATAGAAGAGGGTGTTCGGAAAAGAAAATCAGATTCATGAAGTTGCCTCATAATGTACTGTACCTGCTAAAAATTGTGCTTTCTGAACAGTTTTCCCTATTATTTTTTATTAAAAATATGTTTTTAATCTCTTCTAATATCTACTTTCATAGGAACTAGGTTAATTTAAATGCATTTTACTGCCCTTCTCACATTATCGTCTACCACTTGGTATCGCTTATTATTTGCTTTTTTTCCCCTTCTGGTTCTGATTTAGTTTTACTGGTTAATCACTTTTTTAACCAACTCCTCTTTGATTCTGGAATTACCCTTTGACCTCATGATTTGATTGCTGCTTCACTAGCCCACTGAGCAGAACATATTCTGGTGAAAACAGCAGGTCTTGATTTCATTCTGTTTATATGTACATGGTCCCCAATGCTGAACTGTGTCACTCAGAGAATACCCACTGGAAGAGGCTGTAGCAGGGAAATAGATACAGAAGTCGAAAAAGAAGACGGGGAACTGTCATTTAATTTCAAAGATGAGAATGAAGAAGGTAATTGATCTAATTTGAGGTGAAGTAACTAGCAACCTGGCCTCCAGGCAGATTTCCTGAATGGCTGGTTTCTGGGAGTGAGACTTTGAAAGATTCATGACGTCTTTGAGGAGTGGGACATAGGACAGATCAGAGCTGAAGGCTGGTGCAGAATGCCTCACTATAAAGTTTATGGATCTCCCCCCTGGAAAGTAGAAGCTTTCTGCTGCATGTGGGGGTCTACCCTTCCCTAAATTCACTAGAACTTTCCCAGTTCCTGTATTATCAATTCAGTTGGATTTTGAATTTTCTTCCTAGAATATAGGAAGATACTTAAAAATGTTTGATGTCTTGAAAAGTCTAACTACCTGGAACTATTGTCTATTCCCTTTCCTGACACATGCCCTCTCACACTGTCAAGAGAAGGAAACTTTGAGAATGTGTGTTACAGCTAAATTTGAGCAATATCCCTGAGTCCCAGGGCCAGGCTGAGTCGGGGAGAAGACCAGAATGTCCTACCATACTGCTTCCTAGCCCCAGGTGCAGGGGGGTAGCTTACCTTCCAGACCCAGCTCTTAAACCTGTGCTTGGAATTGCTGCTGATTCTTGATTTAGACATTTATCCTAGAAAACGGTCTAAAAATACATTGGGCACCCCAGCTGGGTTGGCTTAGTGGATAGATCGTCGGCCTGCGGACTGAAGGGTCCCAGGTTTGATTTCGGTCAAGGGCACATGCCTGGGTTGTGGGCTCGATCCCCAGTAGGGAGCATGCAGAAAGCGGCCAATCAATGATTCTCTCTCATCATTGATGTTTCTAACACTCTCTCTCCCTCTCTCCCCCTCTCCTTCCTCTCTGAAATCAATAAAAATGTACTTTAAAAATATATTGGCCACATGTAAACAAATATTTACTTGCAGAAATAAATGACCGTGTGTTTCCCCTTTAAATGACTTATTTACATTTTTGTACAGAATCTAGAGTTATTCTCGTAGGTTGCTGATATATACATGAAACTGGCACAGCCTCTTTGGGGAATGAATGCAGTGGGTTTCAAAAGGTCTGTCCCCGTGCTCTTTGTCTTAGTAATACTATGTATACGAAATCATCAAGGATTTGCCTTATGACTTGGCTAGGAGACGTTCCCTGCAGCTTCCCAATAAACAGGATAAATTATCATTCACACACGAGAATGTACGCATGTTGATACATGGTTTTAAACATAAAGGATTTTCATGATATCCTATCGAATGAACAAATAAATCAAGTTCACAACAGTACTAGTAAATGCATATAAAATAAGAAAATATGCATGTATGCACAGAAGAAATGTCAGCAAGGATGAACCAAAAGGATAATTATTTTGGAGTGGTGTGAATAATAGTGATTTTAATTAGAAATGGATAATTTTATTTTCCTGTCTTCTACAATAAACAGGTATTTCTCATGAAAAAGAACATTACTGAGCAGTGAAACTGGCCTCTAGAGTACATAGAGGGGACGAGGATCTGATGAACTTGGGTCAGCGAGATGCCGTGTTCACTGATGTGTGTTAGGGTATCAGCAGTAATACAAAGTGCTGATGGTGCACCATTGATTCAGACAAAAAGATGTGGGTACAGTGGACTTAAGAGTGAAGCCAGTCCTAGCCGGTTTAGCTCAGTGGATAGAGCACCAGCCTGAGGACTGAAGGGTCCCAGGATCAATTCCAGTCAAGGGCACTTACCTTGGTTGCAGACTGGATCCCCTGGCCATGGTGGGGGCTCCTGTGAGAGGCAACCAATCGAAGTGTCTCTCTCGCATAGATGTTTTTCTCTCTCTGTCTCTCCCCCTCCTTTCCATTCCATCTAAAATATCAATGGAACAATATCCTCAGGTGAGGATAAATAAATAAATAAATAAATAAAAATAATTGTAGTCATTTAAAAAAAGAGAGGGTGAGGCCAGCTTCAGAAGAATTTTGCAAATTGGGCCATATTTTTACTCTTTAACTAGAATGATTTTGTAGGATAATTATTTACCTTTTTCTTTTGACTTTTAACAAACTATATATATTTTAATTGTTTTATTGAATAATAATACTAAGTATACAAAAAATATTTACAAAATACATTGTAAAGTACAGAAAATACTTATGCAAAAGTATTGGTCCCAAAATGGACCACTATCATTAACTCCACAGAGATGTCCTGTAGGTTCCCACACTCCCATCTTCTTCATCCCCCTCTGTGCCCCCGCTGCCTCAGAGCAAACCATGGTCCTGAATGCTTTATCATTGCCTTGCTTTCCTTATAAATCTATCCTTAAACAATACTTTATTTAGTTTTGCAACTTCATATAAGTGGAGCCATACTCTGTGTGCTTCTGCAACTTGTTTTTTTTCCCACTCAGAATCTTATTCCCAAGTTTCATCCATGTGATCACATCAGCAAACTTATCACAATATTATTTACTGTATTTTCCTTCACCTTTTTCACCAACTCCCCTCCCCTTCCCTCTGACAACCATCTTTTTGGTCTCTGTTTCTATGAATCTGTTTTTGTTTTGTCTTATTTGTTCATTCATTTTAAACATTGCATTATGTTCTATCAATCTTGCCTAAAGGTCTGTTGGAGACTGAACCCCTGCGAGGAAGAGATGAAGACGCAGTAGCCAGTGCTGACTTCTCTAGCATGCTCTCTGACGAGGAGAGAGAAGAGTTAAAGGCAGAATTAGTTCAGGTATGTTTAGGAATCTTATTATTCCAATGACTATCTCTGGATCTTGAGAGTTACTATTACTTTTATATAAGTCCCATATTACAATTGTTATATTACATTCAGTAAAATTTGATAAATGATGTATTGCAAGATAATTTATTTGGGGGGGTATTTTGTAATGGTAATTGTCCATTATTCATTGGTTACAGCACAAAATTGACTGGCTATGCTGCTTAAGCAACAATGATAATTAGCAGCTCCTACTCTTTTAGTATCACAATGCCACGGGGATGATAAACCACTTACAAACCTGGTGGAATTCCTTCAAGACCCTGCAAGTACAAGCTGCTTTTGAAGAGCAGTTCTTGTTTTAGGTCAACAGTGTAGCTCAACAAACACTTTGAAATAATTTAGTTTTGTCACAAAAAAGTTAGTCATAGAGCAGCTGGATTTATTGAGTTGTGCTCTTTTGCAGAAGAATAAAGCTCTGGGGATAGAGAGGAAAGCTGTGCTGGATGCAGGCTCCATTAGATCTCAGGTAGTTGTTGGGGCATTTGGACTTAGAGGCGAGGAGGATGCCTGGCTCATTGTGAATGCAACTCTCTGTTCAAGTATTTTGTTTGCATCACCTACTAACCCTTGAACACTTGGCTAAGGAGCGGTTGGTTACATTACAGAAGGAAAGGGCTGGACACAGGGGGCTTCCCGAGTACAATAAGCAGCAGGGCGAGAGGGGTGAAGCCAGCATCCCCTCTCCATTCTGAATCCCTGGCTCCGAGGGCAGGAAGCTCCTGGTCCATCGGAAAGCAAGACTTTCACCCCTGGCTCTGGCCTCTTCTGCAGGCTGGGGACAGAGCTCCGAGCTCCACCGTACCCTCAGCCCCCTTGGTCCACTGCAGACTCCTCAAGCTCTGAGGTCCTGAGAGTGTGTGTTCATGACAGTTCATAATCATATTGAAGATTTTTCAGGTGCTTTCCCAAGACACACCTTAAAATAACTTCATAAAATCAGCTTATTCCTCTGGCACAGCAGAAGTTATTTTTATAAGCACAGAGCCTGCTTCTTTGGCTGGGTTTGTCTGTGGCCACTGATCCAGAACCACTCAGTTGACTTCAACCCAGCCACACATTCCGGAGTGCACGGACCAAAGTCAGCCTTCACTGAGCGTGCAGCAGCTCCACGTTTCCTTACGGCCTGGAATTCTGTTCACGACCTGTTCATGTCAGTGGTGGTGTCCAAAGTTTATGTTCTGTAGGCCAGTGTAAGTTAACTGATTCTATGCTAAAATTTAACTCCTTCATATAACAGTCCAGGTTTAAGTGCAGATGCAACCTCTGTGATAGACCAGCTTTTAGAAAATGACTTGATTTTTCTGGGTTCTGGGGTTCTATCAATGCATTTTTTCCACATTCTATATTTTCTAAATGTTCAAAGCTGAGTATGTGTTACTTTTATAATCAAGAAAAGGTAAGCCTAGGTTCTAAATGGAGACCCCATGAATATAAATAACCTGCAGTGTTTTCAGAAATCCTTGTTTTATTCGGCCACATTAATAAGCTTCCAGTGCATCTCACTCCTAACACTTTCTGAAACTGAATTCTGAAAATAACATCAGACTCCCGTCACTGTGTTCAAGTTTCCAGGTTGCATGTTTTCATCCCCCAGAATGCATTAGCCTCCGTGCTTGCTCTCTCTTATTTCTGCGTTTCTCAGAGATGAGGGGGTATTGCATCCTGCCTTATTGTTGTGTGCTTACCAAGTGCTGGCACTAGGAAGACCTGCCCTTGTGCTGGGAGACATAAAATAAGCCAGTATTGTCCAAAAGGCTACATCTTAGATCAAGTCTGCATTCTAAAAGAGGAATCTGTTGTTAACACAGTTTAGCCTTTATTTTATGACTGTAGCCATGTGATATGTGTGTTTCTCAAAGTTCCTTCAGTGGGAGGAGGTGGAAGAGGGTATAGGGCAGGGGTGGGCAAACTTTTTGACTTGAGGGCCACAATGGGTTCTTAAACTGGACCGGAGGGCCGGAACAAAAGCATGGATGGAGTGTTTGTGTGAACTAATATAAATTCAAAGTAAACATCATTACATAAAAGGGTACGGTCTTTTTTTTTTTTTTAGTTTTATTCAGTTCAAACGGGCCAGATCCGGCCCGCGGGCCGTAGTTTGCCCACGGCTGGTATAGGGGAATAGACGGTGATGGATGGAGACTTGACTTGGGGTGGTGAACACACAATACAGTGTACAGGTGTGTTGTGGAATTGTGCACCTGAATTCTGTATAATTCTGTTAACCAGTGTCACTCCAATAAATTCAATAAAAAGGAAAAAAAGAATCTAAAAATAAATAAATAAAAGCTTCTTAGTGTGAAGCCAATATCACCTCTGACCTGGTGTGTGCTTTGTGTGTAGCAGGTGTGCAGTAAGACTTTTAACTTTATTTTATAGCTCCAATGAATATTTATATTTGTAAATACCGGCAGTAGATTATGCATTTTAATAAGTTTATCAATATATTAAAATATTTTGTGTCGGAGATTTGATCTCATTCATCTTATTACCAGTTGCTCCTGACATCTCCAAGGTCTCTGCACATCTATTTGGTGTTTCTTTCCCTCTGTCTCCCTTTTTAACTAAACTTGCTCAGTATTTCTGTGCTACAAACATCCACTCCCACTTTCATTTCACTAAGCTGCATTTTATGCTCAGTATTCCATAATGCGACGTGGCTTTTGAAAAGGATGAAATGATGGCATTGGTGCTAGAAATTTGTGTTATATAACAATTAGAAACTGCCAATGTCCCCTCGATAAAATGACTCAAGAAAAATGGGTATTAATAGGACTAGAAGAAATACCAGACAGCATTATCCAGCAGGCAGAACCTATTTTCAGGCTCCCTCCATCCACTCTTGGTTTCTCATCTTCCTTGGGTGTGTGGTCCCCCAGGAAGAACACACAGTGCCCTCAAGCTCCTGTCTCTTAGACGTACAGACTCAGTTCCTTCCTCCCAAACCTTTATTCTTTCTGGACTAAGCTAGTGACCACCTAAAGTGTTCATAACCAATAATGTCTTACTGCAAACATTATTCTGTATTAGTCAGGGTTCTCCAGAGAAACAGAACCAAATATATATATGTTTCTGTATACGGAAAGAGATTTATTATAGGGAATTAGCTGATGTGACTGTGGATGCCAACAGGTCCCAAGATCTATAGTCAGCAAGCTGGAGACCTAGGAGAACAGGGTGTGCCTCCAGTCTGAAGGCTAGCAGGCTTGAGGCCCAGGAAGAGCTAACATCACAGTTTGAATCTAAAGGCAGAAAACATACACACACACACACACACACACACACACACCTGGGGCAGGTGTACGTTTCAGCTTGGTCTGACATCTTTCCCCACTGCTTCCCTCCTACTTGTAGCTGGAAGACGAAATTACAACATTACGACAAGTATTATCAGCGAAAGAAAGGCATCTGGTTGAGATAAAGCAAAAACTCGGCATGAACCTGATGAATGAATTAAAACAGAACTTCAGCAAAAGCTGGCATGACATGCAGACCACCACTGCGTAAGTACATTCATGGAATACTAACCAATTACTTAGTCTGCCATCTTGCCACTTGTCTATTTTTTTCTACAAGGCTGACTTGGTACTGTGGCTAGAAAAAGAATATTTTCTCTAAAAGTAGGGGAAAAACCTCAACAATCATTTTTAAAACGTTGCGTGTGGAACATGCTCCATAAAGTAGCTTTATGAAATTAAACTTTGTTCACTAAAATTGTATTTTTGCTCAGATCCCTTTATGGTATTGCACATTTTAAAAAAATGTTTCTTTTTATTATATACTAGGGGTCCAGTGCTCAGTATTCCATAATATGACATGGCTTTTGGTTTTTTTTTTTTATTATATAGTAGAGCAGTGGTTCTCAACCTTCCTAATGCTGTGACCCTTTAATACAGTTCCTCATGTTGTGGTGACCCCCAACCATAAAATTATTTTCGTTGCTACTTCATAACTGTAATTTTGCTACTGTTATGCATCATAATGTAAATAATCTGATATGCAGGATGTATTTTCATTGTTACAAATTGAACATAATTAAAGCATAGTGATTAATCACAAAAACAATATGTAATTATATATTCAATATGTGTTTTCCGATGGTCTTAGGCGACCCCTGTGAAAGGGTCATTTGACCCCCAAAGGGGTCCGACCCACAGGTTGAGAACTGCTGTACTAGAGTGACTTGGGAGGGGGTCCCTCAGCCCGGTCTGCGCCCTCTCACAGTCCGGGACCCCTTGCGGGATGTCCACCTGCCGGCTTAAGCCCGCTCCCTGGGGGATTGGGCTTAAGCCGGCAGTCGGACATCCTTAGTGCTGCCGTGGAGGTAGGTGGCAGAGGCTCCTGCCACCGCAGCTGTGCTGGCCAGCCATGAGCTGTCTTCTGGCTGAGTGGCACTCCCCCGTAGGAAGCGAACTGACCACCAGGAGCATCTGCCTCCTGGTGGTCAGTGCGCATTATAGCAACTGGGCATTCTGCCATAGGGTCAACTTGCATATTACACTTTTATTATATAGGATTTTTAAGCATTTGTCGAATATGTATTTTTTATTTGTTCTCATAAAATTGTAAATGGACATGCAGAGGCCTGGTAGTAGGAAGAGGTACCTGGGATGGATGGCCATTATTTCAGTTTCGTTGGGGGCCATCTTTGCCTGCTGACTCCTGAAAGCTAAGCTTTAAGACCTTTTGTTCCTGTATGACAGTGCCTTTTCTTGGAGGAGTTGGGTTAAGGAGTCTTCTGTTTACCCGCTGTGCTTCCTTTAGTTTCCAGGTGAAAGAAGACCCACTCTCTCCCCCTATAACAGCCTAGCAACCCCATAGGCTTCTGTGCTTGTGCACCCCAAGGCTCTCCAGACAGGGTCAGGGCACACAGTAGGGCAGGATGGAGCCAGGGAGCACAGCTGTTTATCTGCAGAGGCTAACCAGCCTTCCCCAACCTGAGGACAATTATAGAAGATAAGACACCTCACGTCAATGTTTATACATTTCAAATACATAACGCAACACCATGTGAACAATCTCCTGGAAAGCGTAGCTGGATTTTAGGCACTAAATTAAATGAACCCATGTGTCAGCAGTTTGGCCTATGTCTTTGCACCTTGGTGGCCTAGACCCATTAATGGCCTTGACAGTGTGAGGTGAAACAATCTCCAATCCTAGGGTCTGGTCACCTCTGTATTTAATCCAGGCCTGGAGGCTTCATGCCACACTGACCTGAACTCCCTTCTGGGTGTAAGAACCAGGCTAGATGTTTTGCTTGTCCTTTCTAACTGCACTGCAGGGATAAGCCAGGCCCTTTGTTGCTAAAGTGAGGTGGGGGGAGCAGGGAGATGGGCAGAGGGTGCCCCGAGTTTGCTCCAGGTGTGATAGGGGCAGAGTGGGAGGTGGGGCAGTGAGAGGAGAGACTCATAGTCCTGCTGGGACATGGGATTGGAGCAGGCAAGTTCCAGGAAGGCTTTTAGCCTCTTCACACAGGGGAGAGTATGTAGTTTGTATTTTCCCCATGTTCGAAGAACACATTGGTTTTATAGTCAGGCATCCTACTTAGTATCATGTTTTTGTTGAATGAATAGAATAAATTTATTCTCTGGGTATAGCGTGTATAGGCTAGTCAGGAAAACAGAGTTTAGTTTTTGTTTTTATTTATATATAAGTAGTTACAAATCACCAGTTAAAGGATAATTGTGAAATACTGGTGCTGTCGGGTTGGGAAGCAGAATGAACCTAGCTGGGCCCAGGGAAGGGTTCCCGAGGAAGAAATGTTTCAGCAGAAGGATGAGTGGGAATTCTCCAGCCACAGGGGCAGGAGGGGCCTCCTAGGGGAGGCTCCCTGGTGAAGGCCCCCAGGAGAGGAGGCTCCAGTTACTCACTGTTGTGGAGATGGCAGGTAGAAGTGGCCTATGGCATCTGTTAATAGAGTTATTTTTTTTAACAAAAAATAGTATGTTTTTATTGATTTCAGAGACGAAGGAAGAGGGAGATAGAGATAGAAACATCAATGATGGGAGAGAATCATTGATCGGATACCTCCTGCAGGCTCCCTACTGGGATGGAGCCCGAAACCCAGCCATGTGCCCTGACCAGGAATCAAACCGTGACCTCCTGGTTCATAGGTCGACGCTCAACCACTGAGCAACCCCAGACGGGAAATAGAGTTATTCTTTACCCACAGGCAATAGAAAGCCATTAAAGGGGTCATGACAGTTTGTTGATCCAGCAACTTTAATGAGTGTCTGCTCTGAGGCATTATTACCCAGAGGCTAATCTAAGCCCACCGGGGTACAGGCTTCAAAGATGGACAGAGTTCCTACTCTCTTTGTGTGTCGAAAGGCAAAAGAGCAAGAACAAGTAATAAAATGAACATATAAGGAAATATCAGGAAGTGCTAAATGGCATAGGGTGATGCTCTACAGGAGGAGAAGGGGGCCGGGGAGAAGCTGCTGGGATGGGGTCCCAGTCAGGGAAATCCTGTCCTGGAAGCTGCTTTGAGCTGAGACCTGAATGATGAGGATGATCTGAAGAAGAGCTTGTGATGATCTGAGGAAGAGCTTCCACGCAAAGGCAAAGGCTTCTGCAAAGACCCCGAGGCCAGAACTAGCTTTCTAGGTTGCAGGAGCCCAAAGCAAGTGCTGTGTCTGGAGTGTAGTGAGAGGAGAGGGGGCCAGAGCCTCTGTTTTGTGAGGAACTGTGGGGATTTTCTTCCCAGGGCTCAGGATCCTGTTGCAGAGTTTGAAGCAGGAAGTGACCTGTTCTGATTCATCTTTCGGAAGGATCACTGCAGTTGCTTTGTGTGATATAGGTTGTGGGAGGCAGGTGTGGAAACCGGAAAGTCCTTTATGAGACTGTTGCCGTAGTCCAGTGGGGATGGTGGTGAGGGAGAGTTGTGGACAGGCAGCGGACAGGACTTGGAGGTCAGGCTCATGGAATTTCCTAGTGGTTGGGAGGCAGGGGATGAGGAGAATAGAAGGATCCAATGTAACTCTTTGGTCTTGGATTTGAACTGGGTGAGTATGGGTACTGTTTACTGCAATGGGAGTGTGGCATTGTGGCTAAGCCATGAGCTATGGACTCCAGCGGGTTGGGTTGAAATCTAGGCCTTCCTGCATCTGCAGATTGAGGTCATATTAGTACCTATTTTATAGGAAGAGAGGATTCAGTGAGTTAATATCTGTGTAGGATGTAGGACGGTGTCTGAAACTTTGCAGGCATATGCACTGTTCTAGGAAAGACTGAGACAGATTTTGTGGGGAGACTCAAGAATCGTTTTGGCCATATCAAGTCTGAAATGCCCAGTAGACAAACGAGCTTATATACCAAGAGCACAAAGTGGGGAAAAGTCCAGGACATTCGGGATTCGTCTGCCTTCTGATGTCTTGAAAGCTATAGGACTAGAGGAGATTGCCTCAGAGATCATTTCATAGATACAGATGAGTGTGGACCCACTAACCTTAAGGGATGATGTGAACTTAGCTTTGTAGGAAAGAATCAATCTCTCTCTTAAGAGGGATGCCTGTCAACAACATAATTTTGGGAAAGCATCTTCCTCCCACCATTTTTTCTTGGCTGCTGAGGGAAGGGAAAAAGTCTTACTCACATGTTAGGGTGGGGGAGGGGGCAGATAGCAAAATTGATTTTCTCCATTCATTAATTAAATCCCTGTTGTTAGTGTCCATGATACCCATTCCCGGACAAGCTCTATAGCTCATACAATGAACATTTTGATGTGAGGGAACTGGGATGGGGTTAGTTGGGTAGAATTAGATTTTAAAGCACTAAAAGGAATGTTAGCTGTCAGAGAATCGCTGGTGACTACCAGAGGCAATACTTTGCATACTGATTAGGCAATCATGACCTATTTAGTTTGATTTATAATGAAAAGAAAATCTGTGGGATGGTAATGAAAGATCTTGGCATATTTTAGTCTGTGGTAGGATTCAAATTGGAACAGAACTGGATGAGCAGACTGAAATTAGCTCCTTTCTAGAAAGATAACCATACAATAGCAGGTCAAGAGATCCCCTGCGTCCCGGGTTTATTGTTGCTGTTTGTGTCATAGTTTTTTACATGTCCTGGTTTGAGAGACTCTAAGAGCAGACACAAAATATTCCCCCCTCCTTTTTTAAAAATGATCTCTGCTGTTCTTCTATGTTGTCTTTAGGCTTCAGGGAGGCACAGGGGATGTGTGTGGCTTGGGATCTAGCTGTGGGGAGGTCACTGGAGGAGATACTGAATCTTAATAAATAAGTTTGGCCTGGGGTTTTGAGCACTGTGACAGGAAATTCCTAGCAGTTATTGACTAAAGTGGAAAACAGAAGAGACCTAACCTGAGGGAATCAAAAGAAATCAACAAAAGTTCCCATTATCCTCACACAGCTCTCGCCAGACACACAAATTCCCTCCTACTCACCAGGTTCTTCTTTGACCCTTATTTTCCTTGATCTTTCCATATTCGCTAGGAAATGTCTGTTTAGTACATGAATATTTTGTTTGGTTTTATGATCTAGATAATATGATTTTGACACTTCCTGAAAAACAGGCATTGTGTAAATAAATAACATATGGTAAACTCATTCCAAGCTGCTAACAAAAAGACAGTAGTAGAATGCCATATTAATAAAGTGATTTCAGTCCCAAGGAAGACCAAGGCGCATGTTTTAAAGCATTTCCTTAAAGTATGATAGGACATGACGCAGGAGATGGAAGGGGTGGATAGAGGGATAAGGGACATTCACACACACACCTGGTTTGATATAAAATAAAGTCTTCTCAGAGGTACCAGGTAATGTAAGTGCTCTAGACCCAGCAGGCAACTTTGGGGGAACTTACCTGGGAGGAGCATATATACCGGAAGAAGGTGGTACGTACATTATAAGAATTTATGTTTCTTTTTTAATCTATACAAACATTCTTGTTTTGTTCTCAGTTTCAGTGAGATATAATTGACCTACAGCACTGTGTAAGTTTAAAGTGTATGGCATAATGGCTTGGCATGTTGTGAAGTGATGTACAAAACTTTTTCTTGATTTCTTTTGATTCTCTCAGGTTAGGTCTCTTTTGTTTCCCATCTTATTAAGTAACTGTTAGAAATTTCTCAGAACTGTGGATATGGCACGGTTCTTCCTGTCACTGTGCTCAAAAACCCAGGCCAATGTTTTCATCTGGTTCTATCTGTCACTTATAACCTGTCAAGTCTGTGCATCTCTCTCTGGGACCCACCACCTCCTCTCCATGCTTCCTGCCATCACTTCCTGTTCAGAGCCACAAAGGAGCATCCTCTCTGAGCATCCATTCATCCCATCTGGTGCTCACTGAGTTTCTCCTGTCACCCTCTGCAGATGCCGGGGACACAAAGATGAGTGGTTCCCTTGCCCTCAAGGAGTCAGTCTAGCCGGGAGACCTAGGCGATGAGCAGACATAGGTCATTACAGTACTACATTCCTAAAACTGTTTTTGAAAAAGTCACTGTGTTATATTAACTCATGTGCCTTTCTTATTCCCAGTAGAAGTATTAGAAAAGTAAGTTAAACACTAGTTATGTATTTGCTTTTTTATGGTTAATTTCACCCATAGTAACAGTAAAAGCTTAAAGCTCTCTTTGAAATGTACATTTTTAAACTTCTGTGTCACCTTCGATGTCTAGGGCTTTCATTGACAAGTGTCTCTTCGTAAAGTTAATACACTTCTTTAAGAATGACTCTCTGCTCTTGGAACAGTCCCACTCCTTGCGATTAAAGATCTGCACATTCAGATCTATACTTGTGTCTGGATCTTTTTCTTGAATTCAGATTTAATTGTCTGACTATCCCTTTGATAAATGGCAGCCAACCCATCATTTCAAAACAATGACTAGAAACAGTCACTAAAGAGAGAATGTTTTATGGGTGATCATGGTATACAAACTGTTGTTCTGTTTACTTCCAGCTACAAGAAGACACATGAAACCCTGAGTCACGCAGGGCAGAAGGCAACTGCTGCTTTCAGCAATGTTGGGACAGCCATCAGCAAGAAGTTTGGAGACATGAGGTACCGTGGGAGAGAACCCCGGGAATGTGCTCAGCCCTTGGCTGCTAGAGAGAGGAGAAGCATTATCTATTGGCTAGTCTTCCTAAGATAGTCTTTTTTAATTGGATTAACATGTTATGTGGCAGATAGTGATTGGTGACTGAGATAAATTATTATATTAGGACATATTCTGACTGAAGGTCAGTTTAGTAGCAGGACTGTCCCAAAGATGCCCTTTCCACTAGGACCCAACCTGGTAAAAATAGAAGATAGAGGATGTCTTTAATCGCTGGTATAAGGGATTTCATAAGAACACAGCACACATGAATTTTCATTACTGTAATTTAACCAATAAATTAAAATAAAATATGTATTCAGTGGAATATGCTCTGATAAACCATTCTAGTTATAGTTTTATATACATCCATTTTTCTATGCTAAATACATAACATTTGTATTATTTTATTCCAAAAAGTTACTATATGGTGTATACTTCTGGTAGTTTTCTTTCTTCACTTTAGCAATATTGTGAACATGTCAATAAATGTCTGTTACATTCTTAATAACTTTATTATCTTCCAGTGCATTTCCTTGCACATTTTGGTTATTTTTCAGTATTTCACTATGATATAAAATTAGGTGATCATTAAAATTTTGAACTGAGAACCAAATGTCCTCACTATAGTCACCAGAAAAACATTGCAGTATTGACCATTGTTTTTTATATTATGTGCTAAGGAGTTATATAGAATTGTTCTCTCATGCCTTTTTGCTTGCTTAAATACCTGTCATAGTTTATTTGGCATTTAGCTGATATGCTTATGTGATTTTTTAAATTTATAAACCAATTTCCTTTTTCTCTAGAAATCAAATTCATTCTTTAAAAACTTTAAAAGTACATTTAAATTTCTTCTTTTAAAAAGGTCTGTGTGAATTATTTCACTGGATTCTTAAACTATTAATTTTTTATTACCCTGCAACTTTGATACCTAGAGGGAAATATTTATATCTTTGTGTTTAAGTTATTTTTTTACTTCAGATATTGCTAGATTGTGCCCAATATTAATGCTCCATCTTAATAACTTGGTATACATGAGGCTGGAGTTAAGTGAGAAATGTACATTAATCTGAGTACTAATAATAAACACCATTGAAATTCTTCAGAGACAGCATGTGATTAACAGGTAAACCTTCTGTATTTTAATTAACCTTAATTTTATTACAAATAAAATTTGCAATCATTTCAGTGGTATTAAAACATTGATCTAGACTAGTTAAATAATTCCTTAAATAGGGAAGACCCTATTACCTGTTATATCCAAGAAAATAGATTTTGCCACATTTATAAAATTCATTCTCCACATACTTACTTGAAACCCTTCACTTGAACACTGGGACCTCGGTGTTTCTTCATCTTTAGGGGACTTATAAGCAGCTCTGAATCTTGTTTAAGATACATATTTCCAGATTGCACCTCCCTGAGTTGTGCCTCAGTCTTGGGTGGAATCCAGGAATCTGCTTAGTAACAAGCTCCCAGGTGATTCAACTTCAAATGGTCAGGTTCCGAGGAAGCCAGGTGCAACTTAGCTCCCGTGTACCTGGGTTGTGTCAGTTATGAAATGGGGATAAGAGTAACAACACCATCGAGTTATTTTAAAAGCAGCAGAAGAGAACCTGCCATGTGTGCAGCACTCGAAAAATGCTAGTGTTTATCTTCACTAAGGGACCATCTCAGTGACAAGGTGGCCCCGTCGGGCAGAAATTAGAAAGAATCCATTAGCCGTGCTGGCGTGGCTCAGTGGTTGAGTGTCAGCCTATGAACCAGGAGGTCATGGGTTAGATTCCCAGTCAGGGCACAAGCCTGGGTTGTGGCTTGATCCCCAGTGGGGCCTGCAGGAGGCAGCCAATCAATGATTCTCTCTCATCATTGATGTTCCTATCTCTTTCTCCCTCTCCCTTCCTCTCTGAAATCAATAAAAATGAAGGGACAGAACGGAACTTGAAAGAACTAAGCAGAACTAAGCAGAAATACACCCTCCTCCCTCTTCAAGGACGAAGCAGGGACATACTCTTCTCCCTCTCCTCTATCTTGTCTTGCAAGGCTGGGCCCTCAGCCCAAGCCGCCCCCCCCCTCCCCCCCCCCGAGAGTGACCACAAGAATGCTGGTATTGTCCTAACTCTCCCAACCACCCACCTGAGTGGACCAATGAAGCTCCAGAAATGTAGCTAAGGTCCTAATAAGGCTACAGTGGAGGACGGCTCCAACCTTCAGAATGTGATGGTCACTTCCTGACCCTTATGCTGTAAAACCCTGACCAATCTCTGTAACTCACGTCACCCCTAAAGCCCACCCCAAGTAGCTAGCCCTATATAACCTTTGTTCTCCTGGGACACGCTCTCTCGCCTCACCGCTGTGCCGGATAGAGGCTGGGAGCCAATTCTAGAATTGATCAATAAAGACTCGTTGCTTTTGCATCGGAGGAGGCTCCCTGGTGGTGGATTATTGGGGACCCCGAGCTCTGGGCATAACAAAAAACATATTTTTTTAAAAAAGCTACCAAATTAAAATGTTTCCTGTGAAGTTAAAATGAAGTCACATTTGTGAAAGTATTCTGAAGAAATGCAAGCTGATGGAATACTTTTTTATGATATTGGCATCTTCCTGATACTTCTCAGGGATTTGTTCAAACTGCGTGTGATCTGGTGCAGATGACATCTTTGGAGGAGGCACATGATTTCATTAGAGAGTTTCACCATCATTATGTTTCCATGAGAATCATAGTTAGAAGTCAGTAGACTCAAAAACTGTAATGAATGGAATTACTGTTTGCTTTGGGGCTCTTAGCAGAGGGGACAAGGGCCAGTGTGGTGTATCTTTTTCTCCTGATGTGCTAATGCTGCTCCTGCTCTTCTCTCCATGCTGCCCTGGCTGCAGGTCCCACTCCATCGGGTAAGCGCTGCCTGGGGGCCCTCAGCCCCTTCCTCCCCAGAGCTGTCTTTCTTCACTGTGTGGGCGCGCCTCCGCCAAAAACTCAGTCTCTCTTCCTGAGAGTGTTCTGACCGGGGAGTTACAGACTGGGGGTGGGGGTGGGGGCATCTAAGGCATTTGAATTTATGTAAGCACATATTTATCTACTTTCTGAGTCATTTACACCAGCTTCACTTGCTGCCCAATCTCTTAGGAATCTCTTTTCTGCATCATTTCTCCCTATATTGGCAGAGTTCCTTCTGAGAGAAGGAAAAAAGGGACATGGATATTGAGAGTTGTGTATTTTTATAAAACTTAGAGAAAGTAAGGTCAAGAAACAGAAAATTACTTTCTCTAGACTGCCATGTTTTCTGAACATCTTGTGACTGTTGTTAATAGGATGGTTCATCTTCAACTTTCCGTACCTTCTGAAGTTGAAGAGGGAAAAAGTTATTGGAGAAGCACATAGGCACTGTGCCCTGAATTGAGCTTTTTTTTTTTTTTAAGCTGGAATCTCATATGCTTTTTTTTGGAATTTGTTTTTCTGAGAAAACTGTTTCTATTTAAGGAGATTAATAGATTGATAATGCAGATGAATTTATTTTAGTAATTCTTTAATTAATTTCTTTGTCCGTTCGTTTCCATTCTAGTCAAGTGCCACCCATACAATGGCCTCAGTGGATATTGTGGGGAAAGGGTGATGAGTTTGATCCCTTCCCAGTTAGCTTCTTAGGAGGGGAGTAAGCAGGGATGGTGTTGGAACGGGTGGAAAATGGACTGTCTCGTGTTAACTACCTATATTCCTCTGGAGAGTTTCACTGTAATGGAACAGTTAGCTGTTGCCGGCTCTGCTCTATTTCCCATCTTCCTGACCAGGAGAAGGGGTGGAGAAGGAGCAGGCCCTGGGCAGAGTGCTCATGGGCTACTGGGTTGACCTGGAAGGAACCAGACATTCACATCAGACTTCCTGGCCTACGGGGCACCTACCGGAAGTAAAAGAATATGCGACCGCCTATTCTTCCCTTGTCCCCTTGGAATTGACTGTGGCCCATGCTACCCAATGAAAACAAATATCATCTTGGTGGGTTGGGCAGCAAACACTTCAGAGAGTTGAGATTGCTGTTTTAGAACGGTGCGGAGGGAGTTTCTCATGTGCTCATGTTGTGCTATCTTCTCTTTTCTTTCTTTTCTTCCCTTTAATCTGCTTTTGCCCTGAAGCTACTCCATTCGCCATTCCATAAGTATGCCTGCAATGAGGTAATGTGTGTAAATTATTTGACGTAATATTAATGTAGAATTTGTATGAACTGTCACTTTACTGATATTTACCTGGTGGGTTTTTTCTCTCCTGTATATGAAGGGAAGTGCCATGAACTACTTAGTTCTCTTTTCCGGTGGTCCTCTGGAGAACCTGTGGTACTTTGACAATCCTGTAAAAGTAGTGTAGATGCAATGAGCTTGGGCTTCTGACCAGACACCCCAGCTTAAATCTCCTGATATGTGAGACTTGGGACAAGTTATTTAATTTACCTCAATCTTCATTAAAAACTACTTTATACAGTTGTTGCAAGATATAAACAAAGTGACCTCTGTAAGGCCTAGAACATTCTGAGCACACTTGCAAAGGTAGAAATATATTTCCCCAGAATTAAATGCAAGGCTGGAAGAAAGTTTAAATGAAAGGGAAAGTTTAAATGAGAGGGAGCAGTTTTAGAAAGGATATCATTAGGCTTTTTAAGGTATAAATTAAGGTGAGGTATCTGTTGAACAATAAAAAATATCATTAAAATTACTGTCAAGATGAAAACCGAGAAAGATGGCCTCCGCTTCCAGTGTGCTTGAGTTTGTGAGGCAGTCAGATAAAATCAAGCTCATAGTCATAGCGTGTAGAGGAGTTGATGTTAGACTGGGAATCAGAGGATACAGGTTGTAGGCGAAGGCTGCCAGGAATGAATTTTGCAGCCTTGGAAACTCACCTCAGTGATATGTTTCATCGTGTTTATAAGTAAGAAAGTAGAACCAGATGTACTGCTTTTCCCATGGTGTTTGCCTTGAGTTGCCATGGTGATGGGGAGGGGGAGCAGAATCAAGGCCCTGAGACCCTACCCCACTTTAGTTAAAACTCTGCTTCTCCAACCTGCTTCGTATCATATGTTGTGGTGTGGATACATTAGAGAGGGGGTTCAGTTACTCTTAACATTTTCAGTGCACCAAAGCCAAATTCTTTCCGGGGTCATTTGCACTGCTAAAAGTTTATATTTTATATAATATGATTCAATCTGAATAAACAGTTTCTCCTGTTCTCCAGTATGTATTCTACTGTAATTTAATTTGAGAAATGCCTGTTTCATTATGTCCGACGATGTCTCTTCTACACTGGGGTTGTTTGTTACTTTGGGAATTTAATCACAGTATCCGATTTCCCTAATTTGGTGGGAGAGAGCATAGATTCAGGATTGCTTTGTTCCTATTTGAATGACTTGCTCCCCACAGCGTAAGAACAGCCAGACGGAGTAGTGTAACCTGAGGGGCTCTGAGCTCCTTTACGTCAAATTTTAAGTCTAGAGCTTGCAAGAAATTAACATGATTTACTCTATGAACCAGGAATTCATCTAGTGGCTTATGGGTCAAATTCAATCCTCATAAAATTGCCTGAAATTAACTTGAAAAGGAAAATGATGTTACTCTTCTAACATATACCCATAAACCATTAGGCAAACTGTCTGCCCAGTGTGGCCTAATGTAACTGACGGGTGACAGCAGTCACGTGAGCAGTCTGGCCAGATAGAACTTGCCATGGAAGTCAGGTGCCAGCTTAAGTGTCTACTTTTGAGTCATTCAAGTGTAATTTCACTAATTCTTCCTCCTGAAACAGAGGTATTATGGAGGGTCACTCATAGGAATTTGGCTCATGTTTGAATCAAATACAAGGTGCGGAGCCATGCGTGGGCCTTCTGATCTCGCCATTGTGAATTCATGCAGCCAGAACGCAAAGACAGACGTTTTTGATCATCTGGAGCATCCAAGTCTTGGGCGGCAATCCCTAACAAAGCCAGATTCACTCAAAACCATGTCCTCTATATTACTTTCCTCTTGATAGTATTAGAGTATTCACACCATGCAATGAAGCCCCTATTTTATAGCCATGCTCCCTTCTGGAGTTTCTCCAGGCCATTCCTCTTATTTTCTTTCCTCTGCTCTCAAGAGAGAATCATAATTGGCTTATCAAATGGAATTATTTGGTGTGAAAATGATGGCTGTCCTTGTTGCTGAAGCTGATATGGACACAAGATTTAAGACACTTTTTTAGTTCAGTTTTTATTTCTTTAGTTGGACTTGGTGATATCAATTTCTATGGTAATGTTGTCATTAACCCAGTATAGGAAACCAAAAGGCACCAAATGAAGTATTTAACACTTATAGTTACAAATGGTATAGATTATTTAACACGATGACGAGTCACAAATAAAATGTCAGTGGACTGTGAAGTTTCGCTCTGCTAAGAGAACAAATTAGTTATATCCTCTTCGGAAGGGAAAATGCCACATACTAATAACACCATTTTGACAAAGCATTAGACAATAAGTAATATTTCAACTTACAATAATCAAAGCATTGACTTTCAGAAACACTTCTTTATGAAAGTTGACCAAATGATTACTTTTGAAGGCACTGAAAAGAAAAACTTATAAACCTTCTTTTCCTTGAGCTATTTCTGTCTTGTCTCACATACACTGAAATGAATAACTTTAAAATTCCAAGTGAGAAAACGCAAACATGACATTCTTTAGACAGATTCTGCATGCTTACAAAATAAAAAAAAAGTTGGGAGAAAGAGTGTTGTGATAGAAGCAATTAGTAAATGAAAAATTAAGCTATCACTCCTTTGACTCATTGATAATGACTCACGGTGCATGATGGAATTATTACGTTTGTACTGTTGCCAAATGCTGTACTATTCTACAGTTGAGTGTCTCACTATTACACTTGGAAAAATTCCATGTCAAATATGGTTTCTGAATCTAACCTGGCAGAAGTGAAATTCATGTTATTAAAATGTGGTCGGGGGAGGTGCCACACCGACAGCTAGCTCTGTTGCAGAAGTGATGTTTCTAAGAGCAGAAATCAGACAGCTGAGTTGCTAACACAGGCAGGTCTTTGGAGCTGACCTCTCTTTTTTTTGTTATTTTAGGAATTCTCCTACTTTCAAATCATTTGAGGAGAGGGTTGAGACAACTGTCACAAGTCTTAAGGTACAGATGAAGTGAATTTTGTGTCATCGGGCCATTGAATCAGGACAGCATAGTCATTGCTGTCGTTAGTTCCAAGGGTGGCGCTGCCAACGTGCGGTGCAGTCGAGAAGGCGGCCTTGCACAGTCAGGCTTCACATATAAATCCGTAAATAGAACCAGGCTTGAGTAGTGTCACTGTATCCTGACAAATATGCCACTAGAAATGAACTGTTCATGGAAGTGAATTGGGGTACGTATTCATCTCTGCACTGGTTAGCTGGTTAGACCTCTTAATGCTATTCCTCAAAAAGTAGGTAAGTGAGAGAGGATGTGGATGGACCAAAGGATCTGTGAATTCTGAATTTAGAGTATAAGTTCAATAACAGTTCAACGCTCCTCTGGGATGGACATGGACTAGGAAACACAAACTTGGCTCCCTGTGTTATACTGCCACTCACTAAACTTATTTATCCAGTTCACATATTAGGGGCAGCACGGTTTGGTTATCATACAGAGAAAATAAAGTGGAGCCACAGATGCATTATTTTGTAACAGTGCATTGGGTCCCTGGGTATAATAAAAATATGCCTGTGGCATACATAGTAGGAGCTAAAATATTTTATTGAGTTTTTTTGTTTCAGCAGAGATAAGTTATTTTACAGAGGAAAAAAGAGCGAAATTAAATTCAGTCTAATCTTAAAATGTATAGAACGTTTAAAGCAGGAAAAATCACTGAAACTGCTAAGATTATGTTTTTAAAGATATCACCTAAACAATGTCTTACCTATATCTTGGTATCATTATCACTGTTTTGTAGAGAATCCATTTCTGCATTTCCTTATTACTGAGAAAATTAAAAATACAGATGATCTTTAACTGGATCTAAAGCAGATATTTGCACATGCTGATTCCAGCTGCTTCTGAATCCCCTGTCACCATACTGCCTGAGAAGGGTCTGTGAGGGCATCTGTTCCTCACTAGAGGCCCTGGGTGCTCTTACTGATTTAGAAGGTCTTTCCTCTTAGGGGGAGGGTCTTTAACATAGAAATCTTCTACTTTATTAGGCCTGTGATTAGGTGTTTAAGGCCCAAGAATGAAATAATTACTCAGCATCTATCATGCCTTCACTGGTTTCATTTACCAGCAGTTTCTAGTTGTGCAGTTTCATCCCTCTGCTTGTCAGCATCATCACTTGAGTGACCAGTAGGAGCCATTAAATTGCCCCCATTGGCAGGGAAAACGTTTGGTAAGGAGGGACATGCGTGTTCTCGGACATTTCTCTTGCTCCAATATCCTGTTTTAAAACAAAAGGCTCAAAAACCCCTAGGAGTCAATTTCTCAACATTTGGTTCTCAGCCTAAGGCACGCCAAAGAGGATGGATTCTGTTGCTTGTTAGACACGTTCTGACTTAGGAGAAGTTATGCTTTTTAGGTTTTCTTTAGAAGAAGGAGCTATGAAGAAGCAAAAGAAGAATAAAGAGCAACCAATTTTCATTTGCTTTTAGGAAACTCTGGTAAGCTCACAGCTCACGTATGATTTTATGATTTAAGTGTTTCTCACACTCTCGGCTTCTCACTTTCTTACCTCACTGGGATGGAAGGTAGAGAGCCTGTCTCCTCCTTCAAACACGCACAAAACTAACTCAGCCAGCTGGAAACTAGCCCATGTCAAGACCTCCTGAAAGTGAATTCTGTGTTGGCATGATTGTCCACGGGTTTAACAAGACTCACAGCCCACTCGCTCCCTGTGTCACGGTCAATGCGTAGCCCCTCTGTTTCTGCCCACCCAGGCGATGGAGAATAGCCAATAATCATGCTTTGTGTAAAACCTCCCACTCCCTCATAACTGCAAATTTCTCATTTCTTTTTTTCTTCAGACTAAATAATAGATGTTTGGCCCTTTTTTATATAGCTTATTTTCTGTGTAGTTTACTTTTGTGTCCTAAATCTTTTACAACATTTCTGACATGTTCTTCAATTGTGGATCCTGGGGCTGTTGCCTGCTGAGGGAATGACTAGGGAATCAGCAGGACGAGTGAAATTCCTGGCAGGTCTACCAGTATATGCTGCATTGCCATGCTCACATACCGCTTTAAGCTTGATTTTTAAACAAAAAGGCAGGACACTTATTGTTTCTTTGTGTCCTTTCAACCAGGTATTTTTTAATGAGAGGTTAGGAAGCACAGTTCATTAATTCAAATAAACTTTTTTACAAAGAACAAGTATAATTTGGGGGACAAAGTGACAAATTCTTGTTTGGAAAACCATTACGAGGGGAAGCGATATGGAGTGGTTTATTGTTCACATCTTTGCTTAAGCCAGTCCTTGCCTAAAATATTGCAGTGGGCAGTCATTAAGCCCACATAGTTAGGAAACTCCTTTATTTCACGCCTTCTGGCCAAATAGCTTTATTTCAAAGTGGTCCCCTCCTTCTTTTTTCTTCTGTTTTGATGTGAGAAAATCAAGAAGTAGGAGAGAAAGAATGAAATGAAGCCCAGCAGAAAACGAGTAATTTGTATTGATCTGATTCAATACTGTGTGTAACATGTATTGCAAGAGAGGAATGCGAATAAAATAAAGAGGAGAGCAGTGACTATTAATAGAGGAAATCACAGTGGATTAATCTTGCTTCTCCCAGAAAAGAAATAAGCATAGTGAAAAAAAAGTCACATAATGGAAAGCAACCCCCTCCTTCCCAGTGCTAAGAGGAGAGGAGAAATCGAATGCTCTGTGCAGAGGTCTATCACCTGAGGCTTGGGGGCCAAGTCTAGCTGGTCACCTGTTTTGAATGGCCTGTAAGCTAAGAATGGTTTTTACACCTCTTTAATGGCTGAAAAATAAAAACAACAAGGAAAAATCATATTTGTGACTTGTGAAAATGAAAGGACAGGAAATTCACACTGCAGTTTCATACAGTCTGAAGCACAGCCGTGCTCATTCACTTATGCATCATCTTTGGCTACTTTCTACAACGGCTAATTGGAGTATTTGTGATTCCCAAGCCTAAGATATAGGGTGTCCCCCCAAAATGTATACACACACTTTGAATAATTATAAAGGCAGTGTTTATTAAATACATTGCATTTTCAAAACTGAGCTATCAGCTGGTAAAGTGTATACACATGTTTTGGGATGCCCTGTGTTTATCTGTCACTTTCCCCAATGGATTTCCGATCCCCACCTGATGGAAAAATTCAACTTTGTAATTAAAGAGGTAGAGAGGCACTTAGTGACAATTGGAGAAAAGTGTGTGTTTGCTTGTAATGATTGGACTGCTTGTGAACCCTGGTTAAGGTTTTAAAGGGGCAGGCCAGGCCGTAGGCCAGTGATGGCGAACCTTTTGAGCTCGGCGTGTCAGCATTTTGAAAAACCCTAACTTAACTCTGGTGCCGTGTCACATACAGAAATTTTTTGATATTTGCAACCATAGTAAAACAAAGATTTATATTTTTGATATTTATTTCATATATTTAAATGCCATGTAACAAAGAAAAATCAACCAAAAAAATGAGTTTGCGTGTTATCTCTGACACGCGTGTCATAGGTTCGCCATCACTGCCGTAGGCGGATACACTGCTTCCCCAGAGTGGTGTATGTTCTTGTGAGGGATCACCTTGGTGACAGTGAGGCGTGACAGCAGTTTGAGAATAGCAACCTTGTCTATACCTTTCTTTTCCTCGGAGTGATTATCCATATTGTTAATGGTTAAAGAAAGGCTGATGTAACTATTATTAAGACTTTCATTAAGCATTCTGGCTGACTAAAGAATATACTTTCGAAGAGCTTTTTATTAGGGAATTTTTCAAAATACTTAATTGTATTATTTAGTTATAAATTGATTTCTTCCTGAGTCTATGCTTAATAACAAGTACACAAAAAAGGAGTGTTGTAAAGGGCCATTTAAAGGGCTTTTCCTCCTGTAAAGGCAACTGCCTAGAAAGATGTGAAGTGGCCAGGGCTTAAAACTTCATTCATCTACAACTCTTGAAGCAGAGACCAACAATCATGTTCCCTGGAGCCACTTTGCCTTTTCAAGAGACATTTGTCAGAAATGCAAATTGCCTAGTTAAATCGCAAGTGGAAATCCTAAGTCTAAGTCACTTAAAAATGTCCATATATTTGTAAAATTGGGGGAATATATCTAAAGTCTATTTTTTATGAATTAAATCGTTTCTCTGGGTGAATGGGGAGATAATTCGAATCCACAGATCTGGTTATGCTCCTGGAGGGATTGAGAATGTCGAAGAGAGAGAGTTGCTACCATTGTACAAAATTTAAGTTTCTATTCCAGTCCCGGAGAACCCAGGCATGCATGACATCCTAGCCCTCTGCCAAAGGAAGCTGACTTCTCTACATCCTTTACAGACTGTCTCAAGGGAAAAAAAGTAATTCCGAACTTGAGAGTAGTCGATGTTATAAAAACATTTCAGAAAAAAATGAACTAACTGCATGTTTCCTTCTCTGCCCCTTTCAGACGAAAGTAGGCGGGACGAACCCTGGCGGAGGCAGCTTTGAAGAGGTGCTCAGCTCCACCGCCCACGCCAGCGCGCAGAGCTCGGCGGGCGCCCCCCGGCGGGCGGAGGAGGAACTGCAGTGCTAGGGCTGCCGGCCCAAGCCCATCACTCCCCCCCCCCCCCCCCCCCCCCCCCCCCCCCCCGCACCCACACGGATATGAAGACCAAAATCCCACTGCAGAAACCAGGCCTTGACCTTCAAATGGCCTTTCCACAAAGTTTCATAAAGTGATTTCCATTTGTATTTGTGTTGATAATGGACCATTCGACCGCACCCTTAAGTAGTCACAGGTGGCTATCTTTTCAAATGTCCTGATCTGAGCAGGTACAAAATTGGTCATGGCCCTTCTCTTTGTGTAATTCAGACATATTTTTCAAACATAGGCTATTGTTTGCTTTGATTTTTGCTTGGACGCCATTACCATACGCATGTCTCTGAAGGCTGAGTGAGCACCCCCCTTCAGTTCAGTCTGTTCACTGGGGGGCGCTGCCTCTGTCCCCATCAATAGGATGACGCTGCAAATTTCATCAAACTGCTTGTGGTCCGCCTCACCTACATTAATTACACGTTTATTTAAGCAATTAAAATAATGGATTTTAATGATGACTTTGAGTTCTTAATTTCTTTAAGTCTTCAGGGATATCAATGACCTTAAAAGGTGATAGCAATAATTCTGCAGACGCTAGTTTAAATCAACTTCTGCTATCAGGTGAACATGGAAAGAGATAGGTAAGCAATTATAATCTTAGCTACTTTAGGATGCTAAAACTTCAATTCTAAAAGTCTCTCTAATCTACATAGAGTAGTAGTTAACTCAGGTAAACTGCTAAATATGTAAGGGTATCTGCAAAAGGAATACAGTAACTAGAAAATAAGAGAAGCACCTTAGCCTATTTGGCTCAGTGGATAGAGCCTCTGTCTATGGACCGAAGGGTCTTGGGTTCAATTTTGGTCTCGGGCCTGGGTCCTGGTCAGGGCATGTGCAGGAGGCAACCAATCGATTTCTCTCACATCGATATTCCTCTCTGTCCCTCTCTCTTCCAGGCTGTCTCTTAAAAAAAAAGAAAGAGAGAAAAAGTGCAGACTCCTGCCAGTTTGTAAAATTGATCACGTGAATGAAAAAAGCATAATTTAATGCAATCAGATTTCCGCAGTAACTTTTACCTTCCACATCATATGCTTCTCTTTCCTTCTAAATGGGACATAACATGTGTTACTAGGTAGCAGAGATATACCCTATACTTACATTTTAAAAATGCACACAAACTAGACCTACTAACTAAAGTAAAAAAATCACAATTTAGATACATATATAAATACTAGAGGCCCAGTCCACGAATTCATGCACCAGTGGGGTCCTTCGGCCTGGCCTGCGGGATCAGGCTGAAACCGGCCCCCCAATATCCCCCGAGGGCTTCTGGATTGAGAGAGGGTGCAGGCCAGCTCGAGGGACCGCACCATTGCACAATCAGGGCCAGGGAGAGATGCGGGAGGTTGGCCAGCTGGGGAGGGACAGAAGGAGGGCTCCAGTGCTTGTCTGGCCCGTCTCGCTCAGTCCCGATCGGCCAGACCCCAGAAGTCGGAGTGTCTGTCCCCTGGTGGTCAGTGCACGTCATAGTGAGTGGTTGAGCGACCTTAGCATATCATTAACTTTGATTGGTTGAACAGCCGACCAGACAACCGGATTCTTAGCATATTAGGCTTTTATTATAAACTAGAGGCCCGATGTACAAAATTCATGCAAGGGGCTTGGCCCTTGCACCCCCCAGCTTTGCCTGGAAGGTCATCCGGAAGGACTTTGGAAGGACGTCTGGTCTTATTAGCATATTACACTTTTATTATTATAGAGGATATAACATATAATCCATGTAATATATGTAGCCTATATACAGTTAGTATGTTCAATGTTCATTTCTAAAATTTATTAAGTAGAAGTGGACATGTGAAATAAAGCCAGTCTGACGAATGGAGTAGGACAGTCTGTGTACCTAACTGAAAGTCAAGCTGGCTCAGGGCCACATGGTCTCTGCGTCCTGGATGTGCAGCAGAGACAGGTATAGGTCTGTAAACTTGAGCCAGAGCGGACGAATGTGGACAAAGAAGTCCTGCCAGTAGGTGCACTGCTGCTCGCCCTAATTTCTCCTTCCAGCCTGTTGGCTGAAGCCGAGCCCTGCCCCACTGGCTTCTGACCATGTTACTCGTCCACTGCATGTGGGCACTCACCTCTGTGCCGAATCTGCAGTTGCCTAGTGCATTTGAAATGGTCGTTTTTTTGTAACCTCATCACGTTTTTTAAATTTATTTATTTTTTACCACACTCAGTACACTGCATTGTAATATAAAAAAAGCAGTTACGGCGCTTATGTACTAGTAAATAAGTATCTTCATTCACCAAACTATTTTTGCACACAGTAGTCCCAGCCTTACAATCTGAAAGCACTGTATCAAAATTGGGTAGAAAAATACTCAAGCCCAGCCAGCGTGGCTCAGTGGTTGAGCACTGACCCATGAACCAGAAGGTCACAGTTTGATTCCTGGTCAGGACACATGCCCGGGTTTTGGGCTCGATCCCAGGTGTGAGGCATGTAGGAGGCAGCGAATCATGATTCTCTCTCATCACTGATGTTCCTAGCTCTCTCTCCCTCTCTCATTTCCTCTTTGAAATCAAGAAAAATATGTTTTTAAAAAAAGAAAAAGAATTAAGAAAGTTAATGTTGATGCCACAAAGCTGCAAATATATTTAGCTATTTAAATCATTCTCCATTTCATCAGTTTGGTAAAAGCTATATTATCACCTGTATTAATTGCAAAGCTTTTAAAAAATTATTCACTCTAATATCTGGGAGTGATATAAGGTTGTCTTTTATTTTGTCATAGGATGTGCATGAATAAGCCACATCAATGATTAGAATAATCAAGACATTTGCTGGTAGGTAGGTAGTCTTGGGCGAGAGGTTTCATTGCTGTATTGCCTGCTCACTCACGAGCTGCCTGTTTCGCCCTCACTTTGCAAGTGCAAGTTCACACGCAGTGGCAGCAGTCGTGTTCCACAAGTGCTAAGGCGTTTGCCACAATGAACGTGACCTTTTAGTAACAAATCAAAATGACATTTGGTCAGGACCACATCTATACAAAATGATACCACAACAAACAATGTACAGTAGTCCTCCTTATCCCCCACTTCCCTTTCTGCAACCTGTTACCCTCAGTCAACCTCGGTCCAACAGTACTAAATGAAAAATTCCAGAAATAAACAATTCACAAGTTTTAAATTGCACATCATTCTAAGCAGCATCACGAAATCTCGAGCCATCGCTCTCCATCATGCCAGAGACGAGAATCAGTCCTTTGTCTGGTGTCTGCACATTGTATATGCTCCCCACCCAGTAGTCACCTAGTAGCCGTCTGAATGATCAGATGCAGTGTTTGTGTTCAAGTAACCCGTATTTTACTTAATAATGGCCCCAAAGGGCAAGAATAGCAATGCTGGCAGGTGCAGAGATTTACTCACCTTGTGGCCACCCCAGACAAGTCCCATATGCCAGCTCCCTTGCGCGTTAACCAGTGATGGTGAACCTTTTGAGCTCGGCGTGTCAGCATTTTAAAAAACCCTAACGTAATTCTGGTGCTGTGTCACATAGAGAAATCTTTTTATATTTGAAACCATAGTAAAACAAAGACTTATATTTTTGATATTTATTTTATATATTTAAATGCCATTTAACAAAGAAAAATCAACCAAAAAATGAGTCCGCGTGCCACCTCTGACACGCGTGTCATAGGTTCGCCATCACTGGTCTAGAGTAGACACACAGCGGTTCTTAACCTGTGGGTCGCGATCCCTTTGGTGGTCAAACGACCCTTTCACAGGGGTCGCCTAAGACCATCCTGCATATCAGATATTTACATTACGATTCATAACAGTAGCAACATTACAGTTATGAAGTAGCAAAGAAAATAATTTTATGGTTGGGTCACAACATGAGGAACTGTATTTAAAGGGCCAGAAGGTTGAGAATCACTGGGAGTGTTCTGCCTCTTCCTTCTGTCTCTTCTTGCTCTCTATGTATGGCGGCCGGTTTGTGAACCAACAGTTCAGGCCAAGAATAGTATTTACTCCGCATCATAATCACAGGGTTTGTTATTCAGAAAGCCAATTCCAGGCAAGTAGCAGGTATCTCCCAAGAAAAATACATTAAAAAAAATATTTTTTATTTTTAGAGAGACAGAAACATCGATGAGAAACATCAATTGGCTGCCTCCTGCGTGCGCCCTACTGGGATTGAGCCCGCAACCCGGGAATTGAACTGGTGACCTCTTGGTTCCTGGGCTGATGCTCAAATGCTGAGCTGCACCAGCCAGGTGAATACTACATTTTTAAAAATATATATATTTTATTGATTTTTTTACAGAGAGGAAGGGAGAGGGATAGAGAGTTAGAAACATTGATGAGAGAGAAACATCGATCAGCTGCCTCCTGCACACTCCCTACTGGGGATGTGCCTGCAACCAAGGTACATGCCCTTGACCAGAATCAAACCTGGGACTCTTCAGTCTGCAGGCCGACGATCTATCCACTGAGCCAAACCGGTTGGGGCGAAAACTACATTTTTTAAGGGATAATGCTCAAATATTTGTAGACATTGGCTGGTGAATTCAACAGTTTTTAAAAAAATTGACCTTAATTTTGTTCTTATATTTTATTTATAGCACCATTATATTTTCATTGTTTTTAAACACATTACCTCAGTGAGGAAGGCTTGGGACTGTGTGAGCCCTCACTTGGTAGGTAAATGGAAACTGAGATGATGATTGACAAGTAGAGGGTTCCAAATCTCTCTGTGAATTTACAAAAAAATATAGCAGGCAAAACATCCCAAATAATACTCAAGGGCCACAGGAAATCTGGTCATAAATATTTGAACCTTATCTGGAGTTTTCTTGTGCCAGGAGAATACACTCTAAGATACTAATAGATGTGGTTCTGTTTCCCTACTAACTTGCATCTCCAATAATAAGCACACTGCTCGTTTCCAATCATTTACCTCCTTTTAAAAACTGTTATGATGCAGCAGCATTTGGATGCAAAGCAGCGCTGCTCTTTTCAACGCAGAGCAGCTAGCTATGTGCACATGCGTGTGCTGCCTCTGAAGAGATCATGCACCTTGCTTCCCGCAGACTGGGTATCCATGGAGACTGCAAAGAGTTTCCAAAGAAACGCTGCCTAGATTGCTCACCGTGCCAGCTGAAAAGGCTTTCTTCAAATAGAAACTGACATTTAAATTAAAGGGACAGGCATCATGTTCCACACCAAAATCTATCAGTGCAAAATATTGAGCAGGTCTGCACCAAGTTGTCTTCCCTTCCTCACGATTCAATGCTTGAGCAAGGCCAGCGGGCAGACTACTTATCCTGAAAGAAATGAGGGGAAGAAACAGGTCTGCCGTGTTCCCTACGTGAGGCCCAGTGACCCCGGCAATCCTCTTATTACCTATTTCTCACTTGGTAAACATTCCTATAATCAATGTCTGCACATCTGTAGATCAGACAAGAAACAATACACCGAGGAAGACAAGTAGCATGTGGAATTGCATGCCCCAATTTATATCTCCAAGTGACCAACAGAACTGGGGGAAGGGTCAGAACCTGTTAGCAGGTTTACAAGTCCATGGTCAGAGGCCTAAAGCCGGTCACGGTGGAATTAGACATCTGGTTCCGGAGAGTGATCACCTGAATAAAGCAGCATTTCGCCTGAGCAGAGAAGGCATTATAATACATTCTTTTTCCTAGATCCTTATCGCTAAGTCGGCTGAAAAACCTGTTCTTAAAAGCAATCATAATTAAATGTCCTACCGTTCAATGAATCTGGCCCTCGGGAATATAGGATATAAATTCAGTAGATTTAAAACCTCCAATAAATATGCCAAAGTTTAGGGTTTTAAAATGTATTTATTTAGTTCATAAAAAGACACCTCCCCCCCCACACCCCGCCACGTCTTCGACCATGCATTTTCACGACCACATCCTGTTCCGCGGCCTCTTTTATGGCCCAAATTGTATCATGTTTCTTGCTGGAGTCCAGGCAATTGAAAATAAACAGACTCACGTCTGGGGAAATTAACAGACCAACAGTGGCAAACACAATACATTCAATGGGAAAATAAAACGTTGGTTACAGGACTGCAACTACATAGAGAACTTCTCAGGAGTGCGCCTCGCCGGCGGTGGCAGCAGCAGCAACAATGTTAGCGTTTCTTTCTGCCTCGAGTTCAGAAACCAGCTGGACTATCTCCGGGTGATGGAATTTTCCTGCAAGGCAAGAAGACGGAGAAAGATGAGAGAATACATCGATCTCTCCAGCTTGAGCCCAGGCTTTGTCAGGGGCGTGGCTCTGTGATCTGACCCATGTTTTACTCCAATGCAGAACACAATTCCAGATCCTTCCTTCTGGTTTGGAGCGGGGCCGGAGGGGACCACCTGGAGCTTATTCTCTGTCACCCCAGATGTCGCTGCTCATAAGGATGAGAATCAGGCGAAACTGCCGGCTAGACAGGAGCTGGGAGGAGTGTCATCAGGCAGCCTCTGAATGAGGAGCCACAGGGAAACTCAGGAGGAGCTCAGGGCAGTGAAGTTACTTTCTGCTCAGTTATGGGCATGTCACCCTCTTTCCAGGCTCAAGTTTCTTCCTCAGTAAAATAGGGAGTGTAAGCTAGGTGACTTTCCAGTTCCCACATTTTTATTTCACTAGTATTTTCGTATTTCATTTTTTGTTTTTCATTGAGAATGTGTCAATGGAAGATAATGTTAAAATGCAAAGCACCACGTAAACATGACTTACTTATATTTTAGTTACATTATTGGTAAAATATGCTATCCTAGAACCCAATCATTGCTTAAAACACAGCTGGCATGCCCTAGCCCATTTGGCTCAGTGGATAGAGTGTCGGCCTGCGGACTGAAGGGTCCCAGGTTCAATTCTGGCCAAGGACACATGCCCGGTTGTGGGCTCGATCCCCCGCAGTGGGGATGCGCAGGAGGCGGCCAATCAATGATTCTCTCTCATCGTTGATGTTTCTATCTCTATCTCTCTCCCTTCCTCTCTGATATCAATAAAAATATATTTTAAAAAAAACAACAACACACAGCTGGCAACCCTTTTCCGTAAAGAGACAGATATTAAGTATTTTAGGCTTTGTGAACTTACATGACTATCTTGCAAATTACTCAACTCTGCTGTTGTAGCACAAAAGTAGTATAAACAATACATAAGGAATGAGTGTGGATGTTTCAATAAAACGTTACACAAACAAGTACAGTGGGCCAATTTGGCCCATGGGCCACAGTTTTCTGACCCCCGGTTTACAACATTTCTATTTAACTGAAGTCAAACATTTTTGAGCACCGCCTACATCAAAGGACATATGAGACAAAGCTGGTGTTGGCTCTCACACACCTGCTAGGGTGGGGTGAGCAAGTGTGGGTTTGGGAAGAGACCCCAGGAGCAGCATCATTAGGAGAATGCAGGTCAGGCAGTGAACACCATGGTGAGCTCTGGACCAGTGCAGATCAGCAGAAGGAAGGGAACACTTAATCCTGACAGGGAGGTTTAGGGAAGGAAACCAGAGAGGCGAGTGGCTTTAGGCTGCTCAAAAGTGTCAGGATTTTATTTTTGAGGAAGAGGAAAGCCACAGTTAAAAAAGCAAACCCTCAGGATGAATGGCGAGCCCAGCCGGCTCAGTTAGGCGGTCATAACAACGGCCCAATACAGAAATAATGAGGGCCAGGCCTAGCGCAGACCTAGCGGGCTGGAAGAGAGAAGGAAAATCCAATCAACTTCATTTCAATGCAATCGTCTGCGATCTGGGAGCCTCATCTCCTTGGTGGGGCCACAGGAGGGTCCTGCGAGGTCCCAGAAGGCTCTCCCGAACTACTCTCAGGTCGGGGCTGGCTGAGCCTGAAGCGCTCCCAGCGAGAGGTGGAGTTACTCCAGTGAGAGACAGGAACACCGGGCGTCACACCAGCCATCACTAATCCAGGAAACTTGGCTCCCCACTCTGGAAACTGGTTCAAAAGGAAGATAGCTGAGGGTTCCTGCCAGGTATTATTCTAAGCACTTCACATGAATTAACCCACTGTATCTTCAAACAGCCCTGAAAACTAAATTCTGTCATTATCTGTACTTTCACAATAAGGAAACTAAGGCCCAGAGGTAGGTGAAGGAATTTACTGGAGGTCACAGATTTTATGGGCAGAGCCAGGATTCAAACCCAAGCAGTTTGACTGCAGGTCTGTGCTATGGCGACACCGGTATGGTGACTTCAGCCATTTGGGGCTTTCTTGTCTTACATCTCTATTCTTACCTCCACCTCCACATGACCTTATACCCATGAAGCACTTAGAGATCATAATGCACTTTCACATGCATCCTCTCTCCTGAATCTCAAAACCAACCTATGACCTATGTAGGGCAAGTATGATGATGCCCATTTCTGAGAGAGGAGACGGCGAGGTCAGGAGACTGCCCAGGGGCACGCAGCTCGGGCTCCAGGGGGCAATGCTCTCCTGCCCCAGGCCAGCTCTCCCCGTGATCCCACCACTTTCTCTTAAGATGCTCCACACGGAAAGGTCAGAAGAGGGTCACAACAGTGGATTCACCGGCTCAGTGTCACTTACGGCACTAGGAGGAAGCCAAACGGTGACGATGCTTATTGGAAACAGCACTGCGTACCTGCTGTGGAGTCATAGAAGTCCTGCAGTCTCCCAGGTTTGTTCTCCAGGTCTTCATACTCAGATGCCTGCAGAATCATCTCACATTGGTCCAGCTGCTTCACAAACTTGGCCTCTGCGCTAGATTGGGTCTCATACTCCTAAGAAAGGGACAATTAGAGCATCATGATTAGGGCTCAGGACAGGGAAATCCAGGAAAATTCTGATTCTACTACCTGAAAGCAGTCACAGCTACTAACTAGTAAAAGCACGTTCTGAACTGACCACATTTCCACCTTATCCAAAGCCTTCAGAGTTGCGTCCCCTGTAATTTCACAGCCAGCATCACCACTCCACGCCAAAAGGGTGCGCTCACACTGCCATGTGTTCCATCCACCAGATGCAAGCCTTGGAAGTCCCATTTGTTCCTATTGACACTCCAAACATTTTTCTTCCTGTTAAGTATCTTGTCTCCATTTCAACCTCATTATTCTTTAATCCAGCGGTCGCTAACCTTTTGGACCCCACGGACCTCCAGTGGTCTGTGGACCAACAGTTGGTGACCAATGTTTTAATCCACCTGAGTGGTATAGGTCTTTTTTAACTTCAAGCTAATATTTCATCTCATGCTTCTCAAATTATTTCTCTCCATTTAATGTTGGGTTTCCTTTTCCTTCAAGGAAATTTCTAGCTTTCTCATTTAATTTTGGTTAGCACTTTATACTTGGAACATTGGTCCTTGCTTTCTTTAAAAAAAATATTTTTATTGATTTCAGAGAGAAAGTGAGAGGGAAAGATAGAACCATCAATGATGAGAATCATCAATCGGTTGCCTCCTGCACACCCCCTACTGGGGATCGAGCCTGCAACCTGGGCATGTACCCTGACGGGGAATGAAACCATGACCTCCTGGCTCATAGGTTGATGCGCAATCACTGAGCCACGCTGGCCAGGCTGTCCTTGCTTTCTAAATAGGCAGGACTTCAGTCTGTCCTGGTTATGACTCGATCCAGTCAGGATCTGTGAATTCTTCATGGCGTGTGTGGCAGGGAGGTGGTGAAGGAAGTGGACACGGAGCAGATTTTACCTTTCCTCCTCCCATTGGTCTCTCCTCCTCAGTGCACACCTGAAATGGGCTATAGGAGGTCTGTTTCTTAGCATGACACATGCCACACGAACACAAGTCCCAATTAATACTACATAGAATCATTCTACTAACACCACAGTGCTCCCACTGGCTTCCCTGCCAAGTTCTCATTTGTAATTCCACCCCAGATGTGTTCCATAATGAACCTGTCATGCTTTCTTGGCAAGATAATGTGATGGGAGTCACTGATGGTTTCTTAGTTTTTTTTAAATGCCTTATTCTTTTAAGACAGCTATTTGAATTTTGATAGAGCTTAAAATTGTAAAGAGAAATAATTTTAATATAAAACCAATATATTTTTGTTTTATTTCAAAGGCACTTAGAAATAGTTACACTTAATTTAAATGTTTGTTTACAGTTACATATTTATATTTAATAAATTTAAGTTCATTATTTAATAAAAATAAATTGAGTACTCGAAGCACAGCAGTCCAGGATTTTTCTCAGTTGAAAGTGGGAAAAAAGATTACAAAACCATTAGTAAATAACATATTTTATAACAAATTTTGAGGAAAATACATATTTATTTTCAAAATATACATCACTGGGTTTTCTCTCAAAAAATAATGGTACTGGCATTGTTCAATTTCACTTTCCAACCAGGGATATTTCTCCAAAGCAAAATGCAGGCTGTGGGGTAGGCTCCTTTCTGTGATACTTTGAGAAAGAAAATGTTTTCTCTTAACTTTCTAAAATTTGATTTCACACTTTATGGTAAAAGATAAATTATAATCAAGGATGTTTAACTGCTTTAAACAGATGTGACTCTGGGCTGACAGCTATTTATAGTGTGAATAGCTGCAGAAATCAATTAACTGGCATTTCCTATTAGTACTATTTTAAGTTCCCGGGATACAGAATGACTATATTTTCTTAATCCAAAATCAGAACATATGGGATGGAAACAGAAGAAAAATAGAGCTTATTATCAGGCAATATTCTAAATGCTTTATACTTATCAATTTGATTGCCATCTGATCCTATAAGATAGGTGTACTATTATTATTGCCATTTTATTGATGAGGAAATTAAGGAACAAAGAGGTTCAATAGGTTGCCCAAGATCACATAGCTACTAAACAGAGGGGCCAGTGTTTGAACATAGAAATCTGATATTGAAGTCCATGTACTGATAATATTGGACATGAATTATAAAAATGCTTAAGTTATTATGAGTTTGTATACCAGCTTGGATAATATTCCCCCAAAATGCGTGCCTTTCTGGAATCTATGCCTATTTGGAAATAGGGTCTTTGCAGATATAATTAAATGTTGGATTAGGAGGGACCCTAATGCAATGACTGGCGTCCTTATCAGAAGAGGGAACTTCTGGTGGGTACACATACAGACACAGGGAGAACACCACCGGACTGTGGAGGCAGAGATTGGAGCAGTGTGTCTACAGGGTAAGGGGTGCCAAAGCCAGCGGAGGCTTCACCAGAAGCGAGGGAGAGGCAAGGAAGGAGCCTCCCTGGAGCTGACAGGAAGCCCGCATACACACTCACCCTCTTCGCTGACAAGCCAATAAACACGGATTCTTAACGCGTATCCTCAGTCTGTACCTCTGGGCCCCTGTGCCCACCCTACTGAGCTGGAGCAGCGCTTCATTCGCAGGGCTGTGCTGATTGGGTAAGGAGAGTTTAAGAGCCTAGAATAATATTTTCTAGAAATAAATTTCTATAATTCTGTCTGAAAAATGTGTGGCTATTTATTCATATGGTCTTCATTTTTCTCCTCTGGCCCTTAATAAAAAGACAAAAAAAACACACACACAACAAAACACAAAAGACACACACACACAAAAACACCTAAAAAACGAGTTCCCCATCCCTTTCATAGCATGTAAAGATGAACTTCATGTCAAAAAGTAGACAAGCTCACAACTCTTCTCCTCCACATCAGTCATCAATATCCCACAGCATCTCCAATAAAAAAATTTAACCCCTGCCGTCTTTGTAGGTGTTGGTTGGCCTGGCAGCACAATTCTAAAGGAGGCTTGTCACATCCCAGGGCGGCCACTGTCCCTGTCCTGAGATCTTCTCTAACAAGTGTAACTAAATCAACCAATGACTTTTACAAGATCATACAATTGTTACTGGTTTGGGGATTATGGGATCATTTAAGGCTCGGCGTTTTACAGTTTCCCAAATTCAAAGTCTTGCTAAGTGACTGTTGTAGCACCTTCATTTGTAAACTACTGTTGTAGTTAAGTAAATTTTGCAGGTAGCTTTCTTTAGCCAGTTGTTGATGGCTAAGAAAATAACAGATACTGCCACCATATTTACAATAATTAGGAGTCACAAGAGTAGGAATTTTTGTAAAAAGTTTTCAAATCCTGAGGTCTTTCCTCCTTAAAAGATAATAGTACAGGGAATTGGTTTCATAAACTCAGGAGCCATTTTTTTTAATGTGTGAAATGCAACACAACTCCACTCCATTATTCCCCGACTCAGAGTGTTCCAAACGTTCGCTTGCAAGTACATACTTCGGAAGAAGGGACTATTCTGCCTAAATCCTGTTGGGCCTAGTAACCAACACCACCTGCGCCAGGCTCCCAGGCACCACGCAACCCACCAGATGCACTTACTTCCCAGAGTTCATAGAGCTCCTTTCCGAGATCCTTTGAGAGAAGCTGGGTTAGCCGCTTCATAGCTTCCTGAAACATCAAACCATTATTTTAATCATGTTCACATTTCAACTTCTCTATAAAGCCAAGTACTGGTCTCAAACTCTCACAGATAGCCTCAAAGGGGCAGCAGAATAGTGGACAATATTGGACAATACAGCTTACAAGGAGGGCAGTTGTGTCCATTTAAGGTTATGCACCCAGCACTAAATGCAGTTACTGATGTGTGATCTGACCAAAGTGGAACAGAATGGAGCCTCGGCCTCATGCTAGACACTGTATTTCTATAAATGCAGCCTAGGACTGAACTGGCTTTTTGGAGACCACATCCAATTACTGACTCATTAGTAAACTACCTGTTGACTGAAATCGCCATGCTATTAAAAAACAAAACAGATAAGCAATATATTGCTCTCTTCCTGAAATTGAGCAATGGATCTAAACCCATATCATTTGTTACTATACAAGCAGAAGTGCACATCTCGAGGCCTCTTAGGTAGTCGATATTCCTTGTTTGGCAGCCTGTGCCACAGAATCATGCCCACCGTTTTTAATAACCCTCGGAAACCAGCTCCACAAAAGTCCAGGTTACATGGCTGAGGGCGCCGGCCTTTCCCTTCCTGATGGCGAGCCCTGCCACTCCCACTTCCAACCTATTAGCCTTGTTCACACACAGATTTAGAAATAATTCCCCGTCAAGATTCTGCCTCAAGTGCTGAGCTGAATGAAGCTTTCAGCAAACATCTGCGTCAGTTTCGTGACTAGCACGAGAGCATCATTCACCATGCACACATCACTGGTGACGCTGAACAGTGCCGCAGCCACTACTATCAGTCCAGATGGGGTTTGAAACCAGCTGGCCATTTACTCGCTGTGGAAACCTCAGCAAGTTACTTAAACTCTTGGTCCTTCAGGTCTGTCATCTGTGAATTGAGGTTAGCAATGGTACCTACCTGAAAGGGTGGTTGTGTGGTTTAAATAGTATATATATATATATATATATATATATATATATATATATATATATATATATATATAAAGTCTCTATTATCTGGTACATACTAAGCACTGTATAAAATGTTCACTGTATTTCTCATTTTCTCCATCTTGTCACGTACACTCCCATAATACAGTTTGTTTTTTTTCTCTCTCTTTTTTTAAATATCTTTATTGATTTCAGAGAGGGAGAGGGAGAGGGAGACAGAAACAACAATAATGAGAAATCATTGATTGGCTGCCCCCTGCACGCCCCCTACTGGGGATCGAGCCTGTAACCGGGCATGTGCGCTTGACTGGAATTGAACACAGGCCCCTTCAGCCTGCAGGCCAAAGCTCTATCCACTGAGCCAAACAAGGTAGGGTGGTTCTTCTTTTAACCTCAGTTCTTTAACAACTTTAACCCTTGAAGATACATAAATACCATGGCTCTCCTTCTGTCTCAATAAGTTTGTGCCTTTATAAAGGAATATAACCTGCCACTGATGTACTCAAGCTTCATGTTCCATCTCCCTAGTTCTTGACGGTGCCCTCTACCAACGTGGGTTATAATATAAAGTATGTTTTGTCCTGGTAGGAAGGGTCAGACTACAAGCACTGCTTTTGGCCCCTACATTTTCTCTTCTACACCCTCATCCTCCCTTTCATCCAAATACTTGCTGTCCTTCAAAAAACAGTCAGCCTCCAGGCTTATCAAGTACTTTTCCTCCCTCCTCCTTTGGTTTAAAGCCTTCCTGATGCAGTTGGCGAGCCTCTGGGCAAAGGATGCTCCCTGCTTCTCATCATGTGCAATCCACTTCGAGCCAAGAAACCCTCACTTAATTATCTTAATGCCTGGTTCTGACATCCACCTCTTATTCATGAGTACCATCTGCATGAAGAATGGCTCATCTCCCAGACCCTTCTCTCTGTTCCCAAGTCCTTGCCAGCAGCAGGAAGAGGCAATGGAATATCAGTGTTCTCTAGGCCTTTGGCTTCTTGCCCAAGAACTTGTGGTTCTCTAAGATGCTTCCCTTGTCCCTTCTGATTATGGTATTCACTCTGCTGTGAATCAGAAGGAGTGGGCAGCAGACAGGAGGTTTAATGAGGTTTCCCATAATTGCCAGGATACGGAGTCCAGGAGGACAGCACCACTCCCTCTGATGGTTCAGATCTACTCTGTGCCCCCCACGGAGGCCAGGACTCAGCTCTCGTCAGGACAGAAGTAAGTCTCCTCCCATCTCCAGTAGCTGGAGATCCTTCCTATGGACAGTGCTTTTCCTTCAGAAGGTTCTGACTTGCTCCCCTATGAAGTAAGCCTCCAAGTCCCTGTGTACCTGCACAGGGACGGCCTGTCTTTTCTCCTTTCTATGTCATTCAAGGTCTTTGGTTACCCTCTGGTATTTCAGTATATGATTTCTTGTCCACAATGTCCAGATATACCCTTAAAGATATACCCTTGAATAAAACTACCATATATCCTGAAATGAGCTGTATAATCGAGGAGGTTTTCCCCCTTCTTTTTCTCTATGTCATAAGTCATTTCTCAACATCCTCTGGTTGAGGGCTAATTCCTTTCTGTAACTTAGTATCTTGAGCTAATTGGTCCCAGTTTAAATCATTTCTGTCAAGCAACCTAGGAAATTTTTTTTTTTTAACATGTTAAGCACCATGTCAATCACTGGTGACTGACACTATACTTTCCATCCGGAAGACAAAACAGGCTAGGCACTTAACGTGTTAAGAATTTTTAATATTATTTTTTAAAATGTATTTTTCAGTCATAGCTGACATACAATATGATATTAGTTTCAGGTGTACAACACAGTGACTAGAGGCATCTATACCTTAGAAAGTGATCACCTCACAATGACAGTCTAACTATGGAGAAACATTTCCTTAGCTTCCACCCTTTCTATAGGCTGTGGCGATGCTGAGCCTGTATTCTACGCCCGTATTTCGGCAGGAAGAATATTCCTTACACTATTCCTCTCGTCCCCATAATTTAGAATACGTTGGAATTCCTAAATTGGGATTCTTTATGGCTTTCTGCCTGTAGAGAGGCAAAAATGCTGTCGGCTAAGTCTGTCGCCCCCCGCTCGGAGAACAGCTAGCCCAGGCCACCTGACCAGTTAAACCGTCTTGATGAAGGGCTTGTCCACGTAGCAGTTTAGGATTTCCGGCCTTTGGTAAAAGTAGCCTGCAATGATCCCTGAACTGAGAACCAGCTATTCAGCATTAAAATCCCCCTCGGATGTTGTGGCCTCTGCTGTAAATACGTCTTCCTCTTTGGCCCTGGCCTCTGGGTTTACAGCCCGAACTGATACTGATTTCCTATTTTATTGATGTTGTTCATTTCTTACTAATACAAATATTTCTTTACTTCTGACCACTAAAGGACTAACTTAAAATCCAACAAACAATTATAAAAATGATTATACTTGTAATTTATAGAACTTCTCTCCAAAGACCTTAACTCGCATGAAGAATTCCTTCAAGTTCCAGCTATCTCCACTGTCCCAATGAAAGCCATGCCACCTATGTCCACATACTAATGAGAATGGAAACCAATACAGTTTGCTTGTCCCTGTGCTAAACAAGGCTGTGAGCAGGCACACTTTCCTGTTCTTGTGTTAAACAAGGTTGAGAACAACCAGAAACCAACTGGCTCCTACTCCAGGGAAATCCTTGCTTCTGGAAGCTGAAACTATAAACTGCCCAATTCAGAGCAAGCACTAATGGCTTACCCTTCAAGAGTGTCTTTAAGATTTTGCCTCATCATTCCCACCAATCCAAGGCTATTATGCCCTAAACTCTGTGCAGTCTGCGGCCTCAACTAGCTGCCCTTCTTGTGAGATCCATCTAAGCATGCTCCAGCCCAGGCTCTACCACTGAAAACACCCTCCCCTGACGCTCCCTGCCCTTCCTGAACACTGAGACCCTGCCGAGGTGGCGCACTCCCTTGCTCCAACGGGTCTAACAGACTTAGCTGTGCTTCAGCGACAGGCTCTGCTGGTGGTCTCTTGTGGAGTCAACAGCCAACACTGACCTCTTCTCGCCTATGTTTTTCTTCTTTGGGGATGTTATCTGCTGGTGCTATGTCCCCAACGATGCACTCTGCCATATCGTGAACCAGGGCTAGGCGTACACATCTGACCAGGCAAGAAATGGTGGATAATTACACAGAAGCATATTCGCTACAAACCCCTTCTCTATACTTTTCTTTCTCCACCCTCAGAGAGTATTTCAATGAAGTATTTTCTACAGTAACTGTATTATGAAAACCTTCAACAGCTTTGAATCAAAACTGCTTGTTAAGCCTGGACTGTGAGGCTCAGTGGTTGAGGGTCGACCTATGAACCAGGAGGTCACGGTTCGATTCCCAGTCAGGGCCCATGCCCCGGGTTGTGGGCTCGATCCCCAGTGTGGGGCATGCAGGAGGCAGCCGATCAATGATTCTCTCTCATCATTGATGCTTCTCTCTCTCTCCCTTCCTCTCTGAAATCAATAAAAATATATACTTAAAAAAAACTGCTTAGTAATATTCAACATAATACATGAGACTGCAGAGGAAATAGCCTATATTTTTTTAGAAATGGCTGGTTTTTCAAATATCATTTTAAAAGCTTGATAATATCAATCTGGTCACTGGATTTGAACTCAGACCTGCCCAATTCTATTTGTTTTTCTATGAAGGTCCTCATTTTGCCATCTAACTAGTTTACTGGAGAAATGATTGTTTCTGAATTTTGTATCAGTAAGTAAATGCTATAACCAGATCATCTAGCTTTATAACCTGAAGTTATCAATCTTTTTTTTCTTTTAATATTTTAATTGATTTTTAGAGAGAGAGGAAGGGAGAGGTAGAGAGAGAGAAGCATTGATGTGAGAATGAAACATTGATTGGCTGCCTCCTGCATAGGGATTGAACCTGCATCCTCTGGGTGCACAGGACGACGCCTAACCAACTGAGCCACACCAGCCAAGGCAGGCTCTTTCACTGGCCAGGAAAAAACCCAGAGTGCAATTAACAATGGAAGCAATCAGCACACACAGTCTCCCCCCCACCCCCCACCCCCCATCCTGAACCTGTATGGGTCACCTCAAATAATTTCTTCCCACGTTGAAACGAACCTACAAGAATTTGACACAGGCCTCAGTCATGAAAAGTGGTGCATCATCACATAGCAGAGACCCTGCCTGCCAGGTGCCAACGTTCACAGCTTACCTGTCTTTGTTCAGATGATCATCTTTGGTCACCAGCGCCATAACTGCCATCCTGTACATGTGATCTGATACGCTCTCTGGCCTCTCGACATTTCTGTACACCCAGCCAGTCCGTGGGACTCTCTGGTGAAAATGAATTAGAGGGAGAATTTTATAAAATAAGTATTTTCACTATCTGCTAGGCTGTTCAATAGAAGTCCAGGGAATAGGGCACAGAAACGGGGTAATGGTTTCAGAACATATTTAAAAAAAAAACCATAACTAACCAAAATGATCAAGATCTGGAATCAAATAAAGCAGTGAAGTCAGCAGAGAATGAGAAACAGGTGTGTGTGTGTGTGGGGGGGATAATTCCCTCGTACACAACACAAAAGTCTAATAATCGAGGCACTAAAACACCCTCCCCTGACGTTCCCCTTCCCTTCCTGTCACTGAGCGATACCTCTCGGAACCCATACAAGTCCTTTGGACAAAAATAAACGTGTAAAGTAGCTTATTTTTCATCACGACAAGACTCGGGAAGTTCTGCCTCCCAACAAGGCCACTGGGCAGACACCGATGGAAAACGCTGGTGGAGGCTCTGAACTTGACCAGGGGACAGACTTCCAAACACCGAAGCAGAGGGGCCACGGCATTTCTAAGGGCTCGTCCTTTTATTCGCATCACGATGTGATCTTGTGGGGTTGCACTGCCTCCTCAGAAGTCTACATTTCTCAGGAATGGTATAAACCAGTGATGGCGAACCTGTGACACAAGAACTCATTTTTTTGGTTGATTTTTCTTTGTTAAATGGCATTTAAATATATAAAATAAATGTCAAAAATATAAGTCTTTGTTTTACTATGGTTACAAATATCAAAAAAATTCTATATGTGACACGGCACCAGAGTTAAGTTAGGGTTTTGCAAAATGCTTACACGCTGAGCTCAAAAGGTTCGCCATCACTGGAAACTGGAGTAAAAGTGGCAGGAAACTGATAATTTTGGAGACTGAACTTAGAGAAACTTAACAAAGTCGTAAAGGAGCGGGGGAGGGGATGTGGGGGAGAAGGGGAATGGGGGGGGCCTCGAACGTGACGTCACTGCAGCGTGGACCACCGCACCCACCCGAGTGCCACCCGGGCCCCACGCGCTTAGCTCGAGGCCGGGCCGGTGCGGCCGCGGACAGGGCTGGGCATTCCCGAGAGCCGCTGGGGGACCCACAGGCGCACCCCACTTCCAATCTGCGGGACCGGGGGTGCTCGGAAGCCACCCCACCCGCCCAGGTGTGGGGCCCCGCGCCCCAAGGGCACCAGGACTCGGGGCGGACGCGGGCCGGGGCGAAGGGGCCCCCGCACCCCTCCCTCCGAACGCAGGCAGCCGCCCCACGCGGACATTCCGCGGTTTGGACCCCACTCGGCCGGGGTCGGTCGGTCGGTCTGGCAGCCCCGACACCCCGTCCCCGCCGGCTCGCTCCCGCCGCCTGCCGCCCGCGCGGGCAACGGCACCGGAGGTGCTTCCTGCCGGGCCGCGGGGGCGGGGAGCCCGGTGCCCCGAGGCCGCCCGCCTCCCCCGCGCGGCCCCCGCTGGGGCCCGGCCCGCCCCGCTCACCTTGAGCTGCCCCACCAGCCGCAGGAACTGCAGCAGGTTCCGGGCGGGGCCCGAGGCGGCCGCGGAGGAGGCCGCAGCCATCGGCCACCGATCGGCGGGGGAGCGAGCCGCGTGGCTGCTGCTGAAGCTCCGCCCCCTTCTTTCCTCTCCCCTCCCCCTCCCCCTCCCGTCTCCTTCCTCCCCTTACCGCACCCCTCCCTCCTCCTCCTCTTCTTCCCCTCCTCAGCCTTCTCTCCATGGCTTGCCCAGGCCCCTCTGTCCTGTCTAAGCCGTAGGATTTGGTGGCTGACCCCCGGGCCTTGCACCATCCACGGCAGGCACAGTGCTGGGCACACGCCAGCCGCTCATGACTTGTTTGCTCAACTCCATTTACCTGCGCTCCCTCCAACTTGTAAAAGGATCCCAGTTCCCGGGTGAGGGTGGGAGGGCAGGTGCGAGTTTGGAGGAGGAGGAGGAGGGCTAAGCCAGATTGCACCAAAATCTTGCCTTTTAGGGACTCAGAGTCTGGTGGTGGGGAAAAGATAAGGAACTCTACTTAAACATGGGCAAACGATAAACATTTGCACAGAGGTACAAGGAAAGTACTTTGAAGAGAAGCTCATTAGTAATGACAAGTACTGGTAGGACTTTGGGGTTAGTCGTAGCCAAGGATTTGGAGATCAACATAAATGCCCTATAGAGTGAGCACAATCCCAGGATGAAATCACAACTTCCCTTAACACCTCAAGTGCTGAAGAGCCCCCTAACCCCCAGAAGTCGTCAGGCTCTGTCTCAATCATTGTCTTAATTCCATCAACAATCAGTGGTAACGATTTTTAAAGGCATTTGGTGGACAAGCATACTGAAGGACTCAGGGAGAGGGGTAATGTGGAGAATAGACTATGTGGGGCAAGCAGGAAGTAGGAAGACCAGTTAGGAGACTCCTGAAATACTGCTTTGGAGAGATGATTTTGGTTTGGTCCAGGGTGACAGCAGCAGAGGTGCTGAGATGTTGAATGCTGGATACAACTTGAAGGTAGGACTAACAGGATTTGTGACAGATTGCACATAGGGTCTGAGAGAAAGAGAGGAGTCAAGACCACACATTTAGGCCTGACCAACTGAAAGGGTGGAGTTGCTATTTACTGAGCTGGAGAAAGTGCAAGAACAGTAGGTTGTGGGGAAGGGTAGGAACCAGATGTTTAGGACATGTGGAGATGCCTAGTAGGGGTCCTAATCTATAATAATAAAAGCGTAAAATGCTAATTAGACCGGACATCCTTCCGGATGTGATTCTGGACATCCTCCCCGACAAAGCCAGGGCCAGAGGGCAGCCAGTGCCAGCAGCCGGGGAAGGAAGGCCTACTCTTGCACAAATTTCATGCATCGGGCCTCTAGTAAATATATAATCTGGAGGTCAGGAGAAAGGTAAAAATTTTGTGTCATCAACATACAAGATGGTATGTAAAACCATGAACCTAGATGAGACCCTGGTGAGAAGTTATGGGTGAAGAAGAAAAGCTACCTAAGGCCTAAGGCCTGGGGCAACCCAACATTTAGAGTTTGGGAGACCAAGAATAAGCAGCCGGGGAGGTAGGAAGAGGACTGTGTCCTGGAAGAAAATATTTCAAGCAGGAAGGAATATGGTCAACCAGGTCATATCAGATAAGCATTGAGATTTAACTGCCAGACTTAGCAAATTCAATGTCATTGGTGACTTGAATAAGAGAAGATTCCGTTGTAGTGGGGCAAGCAGAACCCCAAATCAAATGGTTCTAGAGAGAATGGGAATAAGTATTGCAACTCATTTTAAATGGATGGGGCCACTAGAAAAGAGTTTTGTTGTGTTGTTTTGTGTTTTTGTTTTTTTTTTTTTAAAAGAAGGGAAATAGTGTTGGCCAAGCAGAAGGGGAAACAGAAGCCAATTTCTTTCCACAGAAGGAGGATGCCAGTTTAAAGCAATGGGCAAGGAAAACAACTCACTTACTCGAGTCCATTGGAAGAAAAGGTGAAATGAGAGGGTTCTCATTAGAGGGATTCTTCACCTGGACTCAATATACACTTCTGAGGCGTCTGTGAATATTCTAAGAGTGTGAAAAACTGTGTTAGTTATGAGGATTTTTCTGCTTGTTAGATCCTTGAAGAGGTCTCTGAGCAGAAAAGGGGCAAAACCTCCCACTACTAGGAAACTTGCTTCCATGTGCAGCTGTGGTAGAGTTCACAAAGCTTTGGTCCTGATGTTATAAACTAGTAAAAAAAAAAAAAAAAAAATCAACAATAAAACCTGTAACTGCACAAGCCTCTGCTGGTGAGAAGTAGTGTTACATCTCTCACCTCATTTTAATTCTCCCAACATCCCTCTGAAATATTAATAATCCTGTATTTCAGATGAGAAAACCGAGTTGCCCAGAAGCTAAGGAACTGGCCTCCGTTTCCATAACCAGTGAACGGCGGTGCCAGCATCAAAGCTCCGACCTGTGTTCCTCCAAATCTTTCTCTCTGGGACACCCTTATCATTGCTTATCAGTACGCACCTCTTATCATTGTGGAATTAAGTGAGATTCTGTGTGTGAAGATTTTGTAAACTGTCATTACATGCAAAGAATTGGGGGAATTAGAGGAGGGGATATATACCAATGGACTAATCTGAGAAAACTTGCCCAGAAAACATTCATGAGTATGCTCAAGGAACTAACTAAACAGTAAAGCCCAAGTCTGACTAAAATCTAAGTTCCCCCCCTCTCCCCGTCTTAAGACGTCTCAGGAAGAAATAGTGCTTCTGCTGCGATGTCTTCAAGGATAAAAAGGTTAACGCTTGGTCTGCGTCCGCGGTTCTCAAGCTCAGGTGATTTTCCCCGCCAAGGGAGCATTAGCAATGTTTGCTCTATTGCCAAGGAATCTTAGTTTAAAACCTGGAAGGGAATAATTGAACAGAAACCTTTTCTATATCAAGTACATCTCACTTTATAGAAACTATATATTATCCTATATAATAAAAGGGTAATGTGCAAATTGACCCTAACAACAGAATGACTGGGAATGATTGGTCACTATGGCACACACTGACCACCAGGGGGCAATGCTCAATGCAGGAGATGCTCCCGGTGGTCAGTGCGCTCCCACGGGGGGAACTCTGCTCAGCCACAAGGCAGACTGACGGCTGCCAGCACAGTGGTGGTGGTGGGAGCCTCTCCTGCCTCCTCAGCAGCGCTAAGGATGTCCAACTGCAGCTTAGGCCTGCTCCCTGCTGGCAAATGGACATCCCCCAAGGGCTCCCAGGCTGCCAGAGGGATGTCTGACTGCCAGCTTAGGCCCAATCCCCCCAGGGAGCGGGCCTAAGCCAGCAGGTGGACATCCCCCGAGGGGTCCCAGACTGTGAGAGGGCACAGGCTGGGCTGAGGGACCCGCCGCCCTCCGAGTGCCTCTAGTAAAATATAATTTAAAGTATTCTTTGGAGATACTTCAGTTCTTTGTGTGTCTTTGGTTCATTCTAAGTGAAACACCACTTGAATTAGGTCGAGTGTCCTTCCTGGTGGCTGCTCCTGTCTTTTCATAGGACCTGACCTTAGAAGGTGAAAAAACCAAATGGCCAAACATGAAGCTGCAGAAGTACTCTCTAACTCATTGGAAGTACATTTCTGAGCTCAGGGCATATTTCTCAGGCAGTTTTATCATGATGGTGATACCAGACAGAAAGATTCTTGGAGGGCAGCCACTATGTCTGATTCATCTTCTTTCCTTAGAACCAAGAATCTTGCATGACGTTCCCCTGAATATGGTGATGAGAAAATGGTGATGAAGTGGGGTGGGGGTTGTGGGGTAGAGATGTAGAAAGGAGACCCATTTCAGGGACAGAATCACCTTGCCCAAAATAAAGAGGATGTTGGAAGACTGCCGTAAATCAGGAGCTCAAAAATTTTAATGTAATGAACAAAACCAGTCGACTTGGAAGACATTTCCCAATTCTACTGAAGAGATGCTATTGGCCTGAGGGCCATGGCATTTCCATGAAACAAGGGTGTTCAGGATTGGGACATACCTACTTCTCTCTCCCCCCGTGCCCAGGTGTGGCTGGGCAGCAGGGAGCTGAGGAGGATGTGTTTCAAATTGCCAGGATGGTCCCTCCCGAGTCTGAGCCGGGAAGGACCACCTACCACCAGAGCCACAGCAGCAGCAACATCTGTTCTGCTCTAACTTTCTGGTTCTTCCTCTCTCTCTCCATCTGAGCTTTTAAACTACCTTTAAAATAGGAGCAGCAGTGGGCCTGTGTGTGCCTTCAGCTGGTTCTAATTCTCTCCCAGGTCCACTCTCTCCCAATAAATTACACATTGTGGAAGGTGTTTTACAGCCTAACTTGTTAGTAGAGCCAGATCATTCTACCAGGTATAACAAAACCTAACATGGCAATCAAGGTTAACACAAATATCACAAAAACGTAAGTTAGGTAAATATAGTTCCACCAATTAAAAAAAAGATCAGCCAAGCCATCTAATTTTTAAAGTCTCTTCTAATTCTAAAACCCTAACGTTTAAAACAAGATTTCCTCACCCTTAAAGGACACATCTCTTTATACGTCACTATTGGATTTCCCCCCTGTTGGTAACTTTAGTTTTTTATCATAGATTCTACTATACATACGTGAATGAATAATACAAGAATAATCAAATCTGCCCATTTTCTCTTTCCTGGGGATTCAGGACTGAATGCCTGTAGGGTTCAGCAGGTCCCCTCAGTTAACATCATTGTGTTTGAAAGATAATTGTCAGCGAGTAACTGTCCGGTGCACTATCATAAAACATTCAGAATTAAGGGTGAGCGTTGTCTCCCTTCTTCTCAAGTGGGGAAGGATTCTGAGTGGAGATTACGTTTAACTTGCAAATGTCAAGAAGGATCTCATCCTCCTTTGTTACTTCGTGGTTGATTAAAATTTTAGTTAATTGCTAACTCATTGCTGATGAGCTAAGTTGTAAGCACAAAGAGGCTCTAACTATTCATATAGAAGTAACAAACTAGTAAAGTGGTGCTGAGCAGACATGAGTGTGCTGTCCACAGCCCCGCTGGGGACAGGAAGAGAGCAGGATGCGGGACAAGCAGTGCGTTCCACCTTTGCAATGAAGATCACCATCGGAGGCTCCTTTGGCAATCACTTCCC